GTGTCTGCATGTGTGTATACACACACAAGGCTATGGAGGCTAGAAAGGGATATCTGCTGTCTTCCTCAATCACTTCCACCTTAATTTTTGTTTTCTCGTGGAACCAATTCTGGAGTTCATAGGTTTGGCTACACTGACTGATCAGTAAGTCCCAGGAATCCTCCTGTCTCCACTTCCCCAGCTCCAGAATTACAGGTGCAGGGTGCCAGGCAAGGTTGTTTATGTGTGTGCTGCAACCAATAGCCCTGCCAGCACGCTGCCTACCCAGCCCCAGGATCCTCTCTTACTTGCTGGACACTGTGGACTGTTAGTTCTCCTGGGCACTGAAGGAGACTTATCCACTTCTCTCCTTTCTACAGGTCGCTGATTTATATAGCTGAGTACTCCTCCCCCTATGGTAACATCCTTCACAAGACAAGGAGCTTTCTTCCCTGCTGGGTTAGTTTAATGAAACATGCAACCTAATTCTGACTGATGAGACCTGAGAAGAGTGTGTGTTAGGAGTTCCCAGGATCCTGATGGGAAGGATGGAAGTCTCCTCTTTTCCTCTGTTTATTGACGGGTCAGATGTGATGCCAGGAAGTGCCACGGCCATCTTTTGACACAAGATGAAACGGATACTGGAGACATTCCCCTCAGGAGAGTTATGGGAAAGCAGCATTAAATAGCTCAACCAACTGGGCCTGAAGTAGGCTAGTCACTATGCAAGGGGAGAGGACATGTTCTTTTTGAGATGTCAATTGTATTATAGGAGATAACATTTGCTTTAAATAAGTTGGAGAGGATCTAATCCATTTGCATGTTAAGATAATTGTAAAACGAAAGGGGCAAAACACACTATGCTGTATGGACAAATGTATGAAGGTTCACTATCTTTCAAGATGGAATTAAAGAGACGTAGTAAAGCAATAAAATTCTGACCAGACTTTCCACCAACTGAGAAACCCGCATGAAAGGGAGGATTGGGAAATGCTTTGGTTCCTGGAAGGGACGCTCACATAGGAGGAGAACAGGTCTGTATCTTTATATACCTTATCGCTTTCTGATGGCCAGATGGTCATTGATAAGAAGCGGATGGCAACAACAGGCAATAAGCATACTGCGACGGTCAGGATGATGGTCAGCCAAATATAGGGCTGTCTCAGGGCATTGGACGCGGTACCTGGAAAGAACATGACAGTGACTCACAGAGGTACTTTATCCTGAGGACACAGTTTGCCTTCCATGCAGCAGGCTATCTAGGGGAGCATTTTATAACCAGATGAGGCAGCTCCACAAACCGCTCCAGAAACGGACGTTTTTCTGTTTTCTGTTTTTGTTTTTGAGACAGGGTCTTCCTATGGAGCCTTTAGCGTGCGAAGATTGCACACCCAATCATGAATACACAGTTTTATTCTTTTTTAAAGCCAAGATCCAGCAAAGCCAAGTAAAAAGGGCCAGTTGTTTAGTGCAAGTAGATACACAGGAACAAAACGGGGAAGATGTCTTTGTTAACGCTGCACTAATAAACAATGGGAAGTTAGAGCTGGGATATAACTCACAGGTAGAGCACGTGCTGAGCGGGTGCCAGCTCTGGGGTCATTTGGCAATAGAGATTCAAAAAAAAAAATGTTAAAGCGGTTTCTAGCGTCTAGCTTTTGCCGGAAATTCTAATATTTGTCCCAAACATTGGCACTCCACAGTGTTTTATATAGGTTGTGCCATCTATCTCCTCTGAGCAGTGGAAGCAGCCATCTGAGCCACATCAGGAAACTGAGTTGAGAACTTGGCAAATTTGCCAAGAAAACACAGCTAATCACTGTGGCCCCAAGACCGAAACCCGCTCTACGCCCGGAGCCAGGCTTTATCCACAGAAATTGGGGACTGGCTGTCTAGGCTTCTACATCAGACATAGCAATCTGATTTCATAATATGTCTACTTCCCCACCAGCAAATATCTAGGGCCAAATTTATCACAATGCTTTCTATATTCACATGAGTTTATAAAACTCATTTTTCAAATTTGAACTCTGAATTTTTAAAATCAGCACACAAAGTATTGGGTATCACTGTGGCATTTTTGAAACAAAGTGTGTTCTAGTAGCCTCCTCTCCCTTACCACCCCATATTATTATTAATTTTCCACGAGAACCTCTCTCTCCCTGGTATCTTTTGCTTATTCATTACTATGTATCCTTTTGTCCATTTTCCATCCCCCATGGTCATCTATTTTATAGCCTCTCCTAGTCTCCTTTCTAGTTTTTAAAGACTTATTCATATTTATGCATATGCACACACAGTTATTGTTTTTATTTTATTTTTAATTTTATTAAGAATTTTAAAAATATAATCTTTTCTCATTTTACCTAGCTATCCCTGTTCCCACTCCCTCCTCTCCTCATGCTCCACCCTTCTTCCCATCCCCCATCCACTCCTCAGAAAGGGTAAGGCTTCCCAAGGGGAGTCAACAAAATCTGACACTTCACTTCCAAGCAGGACCAAGGTCCTCCCCCATGTATCTAGGCTGAGCAAAATATCCCTCCAAATAGAATGTGCTCCTAGATGCTAGTTCAATAAATCCTGGCCCTGGTTATTGTTTCTAAAATACTAAATATAAATTAGATATAAAATACTTTATATAGGAATATTCTAAGTAAGCATCAAAAGAGTAAGAAAAAAAAACAAAACAAAATCATGAAAACTAGCCTGGTGGTGGTGGTGCACGCCTTTAATCCCAGCACTGGGGAGGCAGAGGCAGGTGGATCTCTGTGAGTTCAAGATCAGCCTGGTCTACAGAGTGAGTTCCAGGACAGCCAGAACTCTTACACAGAGAAACCCTCCCTTGAAAAACAAAACAAAACAAACAAAGTCATGAAAACTCTGCTCAGAAATGAAAAGGTTACCATAGCAAAAATCCTTTATGACCCAACAACTGGCCATAAAGTCCCAATCTTCTATTTAAAAAAAAGTTATGGGGATCTTTTTTCATCATAAATCCAAACTATTTGAGAATATCACAAACTCCAGCTCATGCTTATTTTTATGTTTGTGAAATTTACATCAGTGGGGAGTCTATCGTTTGCCAGTTTTCCATGTTTTAAAATTTTAACAGCTTAATTAATACGCTGAGAATTTCATGCAATGTATTTTGATTATATTCAAACTCCACTCCTCTGTTCCCAGATCAATCCCCCTTCTTAACCTTTCCTTTCCTCTTGTTTTTCTTAATAATCCACTGAGTCTGCTTAGTGTTACCCATTCGCTCAAGAGTGGGCCATTTACTAGAGCATGGCAGATCTACCAGAGGTGACACTGGTAAAGAACAAAGACTCTCTCTCCCTCAGGTGCCACCGACTGTCGCCTGTCACCTGCCAAAGGCAGAGAGCTCATGAACCCTTCCCACTCTGGGCTGAAACACCCACTGGCTTGACCTTGGGCAGGAGACCTATGTGAGCTGTGAGCACAGCAGGTCCCGTTAGATCCAGAAGACACAGTGTTCCTCCCTGACCTCTGGATCTTTTTTTTTTTTAATTCTATTTATTTTTAAAACTTACATATATGGGTATCTTGCCTGCCTGTATGTCTGGTGCCTTTGGAAGCCAGAAGAGGGCATCAGACTCCCTGGAGCTAGAATTACAGGTGATTGTGAGCCACCATGTGGGTACTGGGAGTCAAACCCAGGTCATCTGGAAGAGCAACCAATGTTCTTAACTGCTGAGCTATCTCTCCAGCCCCAACCTCTGGAGCTTAAACCATGTGTTTTATATAGGTATAATCACTGGTCCCAGAGCTTTTGTTTATTGTTCATTGAACTGCTGATCATATTTCCAAAGATGGACCCAGCTTTTGAGTTCTAGGTTTCCAAGGTATTACTATTTTGTCATTTGATTTGCTAATTTAATATTCTTACGTCTTTGATTTATTTCTACTTGCCTTTTTAAAAAATAATTAAAACTGTCATAGCAATGTAGTTTTTGTACTTTTGTATAAAGAACCTTAAAGTAGAAATATCTGGTCAAAATGCAGAGTTTTATAATTCGTTGTGCTTTTTAACCTTAAAGCTGTCTAATTTAACAGAGGCACAGTTACGTCTTAATATGACTTTAACTTGCTTAGGGCCCTTCCAAACAGCCGCTTCCATTGAATTCCTGTTAGAACATCAATTCTTACTAGCAAAAGTGCTTGCTTTGTGTACTTTTGTACTTACTCAGTCATTATATCAGAATGTAACTTAATGATGTCAGTCTACGCTTACCTTTAGAATCTGAGATACCAACCTGTGAACTGAAATGCAGATGGGAAGAGAACATGTATCCCGGCACTATGGAAATCAAACATGATGCCAAAGTACAGTGCGATGCTTCCAAAAATCGAAAACGCATTCACGAAGGTCCAGTAAGAAGTATCCAAGCCAATCTGCCGGGAAAGCAGAGAAAAACAGAGCACTCATTTGGAGAATGCGGCCAGGAAAAAAAAAAAAAAAAGAGGATCTACAAATTCTGAAAACAGAATTTGGCAATGCTTTGGTTTGAATAGTTAACAACCCGAAACCAAACCATCCTTGGCTCAAGCAAGAAAGAGGAACTATGCTAAGATGAGGGATGGAAGGAACGTTCTTATTTTTTATTTTAAAGTGACAGAGGCTAGGTACAGATGTGCAGGTAACAACGGATATAGGATATGGTCAAGGAAAGGCACACACCTGGAAATTGACCGTTATTACTAGAGCTGAGGCCACTGTGACGGCGAAGGACTGGTAGTCTGAAGGTGCCTCTCCATCCTGTCCCACTGTTTGTAGGTAAGCGCCGAGGGGTATGAAGAAGAGGACCAAGGATGTTAAGACCCCATGCAGCAAACTGACGAAGAACTTCCTGTAGTTGAATAGTGTGTCCCTCTGTCCAACTACATACAACCCAGGGAACTGGAGGCTCAGTTTGTCACTCACATCCTTAAAGAGAAAACAAAATTAGAATGATGTGTTGTCTATTGGGTCAAAGATGTTGGTATTCATAATTTGTATCTTGCATCTCACAAAGAGCTGCCACTTGCCCTTGCGTTTTAGGAAGGCAAGCAGGAACAGTATTTCTGTGTGCAGAGGTCAATCAGGCAGTTTTAACTCACCAGTATTTGATGTTTACAGAGAGTAGCTACGTGGCATTATCACAGTTCTAGCAAAGACAATCAATTAGCAATGTCAAGAAATATGTGGAGAGTATTCTTTAACCTCCTGAGATAATGTATTTGTATTATTAAAAATTTAGAGAAAGAATATTCCCATAGAAACTTACAAATTAATCCTTAATTATTCCTATTTATCACTAATTATCCATTTCCTAAGAACTGCCCGTCAGATAAAATGTGATTTAGGAACTAAATACATCAACTTTGGAAAGTGTTAAAACTTATTGTTTAAATCAATAAGTTATCGATAAAAAAACGTGCTGGACTCTCAGGTACCTGAATGGCCAGATATCTGAGCAGAACATATAAGCACTCTTGCTAAAGATGAATTACAGAAATTTTTTTCTTAACAGAACATAAAGCAGTCATTGCTGCTTGCCAGGTGAGCCAGGGTTGACTCAGGATGAGTAAAGCCAGAAGAATGCATTGATGTGCGTGCTGTCCTATCCCTGGCAGGAGGTGGGTCTGTCCAGAGCAGCCCAGGCCCTGGTTCCTACCTGGTCAAGCAGCCCCATGAGGAGTACAGGCAAACTGGAGTAGAGCACATTGTACAGGGTGATAAACCAGTCCTCGTATGCCGTCTGCAAAGGGAAGATAGAGGCTGTGTGCCACGCACAAAGACAGACTGCAGGTCTGCCTTTCCATGCAGGGTTGTCCCTTGCCAAGTGGGAACCCTATCTTGAAGAGAAAGCACCCCTCAGCTACCCCTGTACCAGTTTGTCTATGCAGTGGGTAGCATCACAGACCTTTCTATAGCAATAATCCCCTCCTCTCCTCTCCTTCAATGTGTGCATAAGAACACTACAAGGAGGTCTTGCTAGAAGACTCTATTCTGACAGATAATACTAGAAAAATTGGTGTTCATTTAAAAAATATTTTATTTTTTTAAATTATGTGCTATGTGTGCACATCTTTCTATGGGTATGAGCATATGCATGTAGGTACCCACAACTGCCAGAGGAGGGCTTCGGCTCCTCTGGGATGGGAGTTACAGGTAGTGTGAGCCACCTGATATGGGTATTGGGAACCAAATTCCAGTCCTCTGCAAGAATAGTTTCTACTCTTAACCTTGAGCCATCTCTCCATCTATGTTTTCCAGTTTTGTAGTCCTTGGTTAGTCAATCAGAATGCTGAAACTCCATTGGAATATTTAAAAATTTTTAATACTTAGAAAAGAATACCAAAATCAAACTAGTTCAGAAGGGCTGCAAGGTGGCTCAGCAGGTGAAGGCCCCTTGCCACAAAAGCCTGGTGAACTGAATTCGATCCCCAGAACCCAGGCAAAGATGAAGGAAGAGAACTGACTCTACAGTTGTTTTTCTGATCGCTACACGTGCACTGTGGCGCATGTGCATCTAAACACACAAAGATGCAATCAATGAATAAAATGTTCAAAAGAACTAGCATTTTGTCGATGCAAAAGTCCTACCGGACAAAGAGCTTTAAAGGAATAATGTTCTATATTACCTGTGCTGAGTAGCCATTGAAGAAGGAGTACCAGAAATGAACTAAAGTAAACGCAAAGTTCTTGTAAAAGAAGTAGCGTAGGAACTTGCACATCCTGATGTAAGACCACCGGCCATGGACCAGCAGCAACCTCTGCAGGTATCTGAACTGAGCAAAAGAATAGTCACTGGACATGACAGCTTGCATTCCTTCTTGTCCACTTATTCCAACACCAATGTGGGCAGCTATGGGGCAGAGGGAAAAGAAAGGTGGGTTAGACACTGCTTTTAAGTCAAGGCATTGAGCGACTTAAAGACGTTCCATAGCAAAACAAAAACAACAGCCCTTGCACACCATTCCCCACCTCCGGCTCCTGATTCCAATCCAAAGTCAGAGGGAGGAGTATGTTAGACCAAGAACAGATGGGACTCCATAAATACTTGTGATAGGATCTCAGGTGGGTGGTGAATTCCATTTGGATTATCTGTCCAATGCACCAGCCATCTCTTCCACCCACAGGGTGAGCCCCAGGCATCCTTATGGGCCACAGAGGAGCCAACTGTACATCACTTACGGTAGATACTGCAGAACTAGCCCGTCAACCCCCATTCTCCCTTTGTTGTAGGTAGAGAAGGCAGAAAAGCCACTTGATACACTTTCCCAGACTGCTGCAGTTGGTCTCATTGGGATTATAGCCCACTGTTCAGATTCGGTCACAACATGGAAACAGGTGACCCAGAGCCTAGAATTTCCTTCCCTTTCTGATATTTCTACAGCAGAGTTCATGTCTGTTTTTCAGCTCTGAGATATTGATAGGCATAGGCTTCTCAATTGAGAAGCTCTTCAGAGGGATCTAGAAGGTAGAAGCTCCTCTAGTGAGTAGTCCAGAGGCTAGAGACTCAGTCTAGAAACTTCTTCAGTACATTAAAAGCTTTTGAAGGCACCTCTAAGCCTGTATTAACAGGTTCTATTTTCTGTACTGAATCCTAGCTGATAGGAAACCGAGATTTGGACCAATCTAGCTCTCTCTTTAAGATCCTGGAATTTACTGAGCTGTACTGGTATCTAGAATTTTGCCATGTAAATTATCTTAGTGTGGAAGGGATTTATTTTTTCTGAAGGTCTCTGAGAGAATAAGACAGACAGACAGGCAAGCAGTCAGACTGACAGGCATCGGGCTCCCCATGTAATTTTAGGTTCTGATTCTAATGTCTTTCTGAAGCCTGACTTCTTAGTCAGGGTGAAACATTTGTACATAGTTTTGTTTGTTTGCTTGTTTTAATTGACTCTATTTTGAGATTTTGCACCGTATAGCTCATATGCTTGTCTCTAACTCACTATGTAGCTAACGATGGCTTTGAACTCCCAATTTACCTGCCTCTACCTCCGGTGGAGCTCATGTCTGGTTTATGTGGTGTTGAGGATGTCACCCAGGCTTTGTGCATGACAGGCAAGGATTCTACAGACTGGCCTACATTTTCAACTCCTTTATATTGCTTTTAATGAATTCTTTTCTTAAGTCAGCTTTGTCCTCTAACATTTCTAATCAACATAATTTTAATTGATGCTTTCTTCAGTGTTCAAAGGCCTACTGTGGCTTTAAGACACACACACACACACACACACACTGCAGAGGAAAAGTTTCCAGAATTTTGTTACTCCATCTAATAGCCATTAAGTACATTTTTAAGTTAGAAAATCTGTAATTTTGTTCAGGTCTAAAATTGAACATAAACAACAACAATGGAGTCTTTTAGAGAAAATGTATTAATAAGAAAGTTAAAACATCTTGGGACAGCAAGATGAATCACTGGTTTAAGGGTGATTGCTGCCAAGCCTGCTGACCTGAGTTCAATCCCTAGAACCCACATGGTAAAAGGAGAGAACTCCTGCACCACATGCCTGCTGTTGCCCCACACGCACACATGCACACACACATGCCTATACACATATACTTGCACACATGCATGCACACACGCGTTAAATAAGTAAATGAAGATTTTAAAATAAAAGTGTAAATAACTGCAGAAAAAAGGGCTCACATGAGTCTCATCTATGTTCCCTTGCTTTGCCCTCTCGAAGGCAGATGGCAAACCCAGGAAGGAAACTTTTGAAGGTTCCATTATAACAAAACGACAAGTCTGTAAGTCCCCCTCCCTTCCAGGACCTCTAGAGATCTACAGTGTAACTGAATAAAACCTATGTTTGCGTTACTCTTTTGCCATAGGAAGTTACAGTCATGTCCGGGTACATGTTTGTGTTACTCTTTTGCCATAGGAAGTTACAATCATGTCGGGGTACATGATAGGAGAATAATCCAGAGCTGACCACAGAGGAAGGAAGGGTCTGACTCCGAGCAGCCAGTGGCATCTGTGTGGTGGACTGGGCACAGAGCAGAGAGCAGAGGGGATGATTCTGGCAGTGGTGACAGATACGTGCGTTGGTAAAAAGCAAGAAGACATACGTCATACAGATGGCGCCTGCTGCAGAAGGCAGGGTTGGGAGACTCTTAGCACAGACCAAGGAGGAAAGGAGGAGAAGAATCTGAGGAAAGAAAGAGATGGATTTGTGAGTCATAAAATAGACTGAATTAAGACCTAGTTGTATGTGATACGCTTAAGTTCCCCAACACAACAGGTCACGTCTGGGTGTGTACAGCCACATAGTCATTCCCCTTAGCAGCAAGGAGGTGACATCACAGGGTGAGAGGGGAGAGATGACACTTTCCTGCTTCCAGATGAGAAAATGGGCCTGAGCTGAAGCACCCCCCTCCCCCGCCAGCTGATGCAGGGGTTTGGTAGTAAGAAGAGAAGCGATATACTCGGGTCAAGACAGCTTGGGTGTTTTCATAACCTTTCAGAAGTTGAAAACCCCTCATTTAAAATCTAAAATGCTCCAGTGCGTGAAACAGCTGAGCAGCATGCAAAAAGTGAAATCCATGCAACTTCTTTTTCCAAAATGGAGTATCTCCAAAATCTGAAACACTTTGGCTAGAAGATAATCCACCCAAGTTACCTTATAGTACTATAGAAAAAAAAAAAAAAGAACCAGGATCAGGATGGGGCACACGGGTGAGGACTAGAGGTTGGATCTGCGTCCTCTAACCCCAGTGCAGCCATGCCTTTGCAAGACAGCCCTTCGTGGTGAGTAGCTGGTCTCCTCCAACAGGAGAGCAAGACCATGAGACCGTGGTAGAATGTTTCCTTCAGTTCTTAGACAAGAAAGAATATCCTCAAAAATGAATACTAAAGAGAGTTAACAGTTCATGCTGAGTATAGCAAAATCTCCTGCAGAATTTATTACATATCAAGGGTTTTTAGTACATTAAGAAAAAAAATCAACTTTATTTGCCATGCCCCTGAATTTTTAATCAGGATAGAAACAACAGTTAAAAATATTAAGCTTTTTGATAAGCCCTTAAAACTACGTGAAATGAGCCATTTTGGGGAGGAAAAAGATCACACTGCCCATAAAGAAAACTATGATTTTCCCACCTACAGCTCCTCTCTTACTTGACGTTCAGTGAGCCCCATGGCTGCTGGGCATACTGCAGGCTTCCTGAGGGTAAATCGAGGCAAGGCACAGCTAAATGCTTTCAGTGACACCTGCTGTATGATGCCTCAGCCGTGGGAACTGAAGGAACAACCCCCTCATGTTCCCACCACTTCTTTCCAGCAAACAGAGTGTCACAGGCCACACACACACAACTCACTTTTGATCATGTTCACGTCATTGGCCCCGTCTCCAATGGCTAGCGTGATGGCCTTCTTGTACCTCTTCACCAGATCCACCACCATGGCCTTCTGCTTGGGGGTGACGCGGCAGCAGATGACGGCGCTACACTCGCAGGCCAGGTCCACAAAGTTCTTCTGCCGCTGTTCTTTCTTCTCTTCCAGCCGTCGCTTACTCTGTGTCCGCATCCGTCTCTCTTCCTCCGTCCTCGGGAACTTCAGCTTTAGGATCTTACTTCTTTTGGTCTTCTTCTCCAGAAGGATTTCGTTCTGTGACATCAGAGGGAGAAAACCCCACCGACCACTTTAGTGTTTACACCAAGAGGACCACTCCCAAGGCATGAGTCATGGGAAACAAAGTTCATGTGCTTTAACATTTAGCTTTAATAAAAAAAGACTTATAATAAGCATATAGGAAATCTGCGTATCTTTAAAGGAAAAGTGGACATTACCCACGTGTTGAAATGTCTGGATAACCAGCTTCACCATTTTGCTTTAATTTCTTTTAGCTACCCTCTAATGTTAAGACTTAAAAAGGTCACACTTGCTTTGATAGACTAAGAGATTTTTAGATTGACAAACAATTAATATGCGAAGCCATCAAGAACAGCCCCATGGGACTTGTTTGAGTGACAGGTGAAGACTCACTACTGATACACACCAACCATGAGCCAGTGATGATTAAGGCGCGGTTTTCTCCAGGTGGAAAAAAGGGTTCATACACAGGGGGTACAAACTTCGATGAGACTCCACCTCTGTTTCTTTGATTTTCCATCCTCGTGTGAAGAAGAGAACTACGGAAAAATAAGTAAGTATTTAAAACATATGAATATAAAAGACTTTAGATTGTATTTTATTTTATTTTATTTTATTTTGAGCCAGGGTCTCACTATGTACCCCTGAGAGGCCTGGAGCTCACTATTTAAACCAGCTGGCCTTGAACTCACCAAATTCTGCCTCGCAAATTCTGGGATTAAAGACGCGCACTACCACGCCTGGCTCCAGACTTTAATTTTGACATCATTTTAAACAATTATGCTATAAAGTCCCCAGCCTGATGTTTATCACATTGCTGAGCGTGTAATGAGTTCAGCATTGTGGACTCTGTCCACACGTGGAGCCAGTCTGTCTTGTGAAGCTCACTTGTTTTGTGACTGGCTCACATCACTGGTCTTCAAGGCCATCAATACTATATATGCAACATGTCCTTCTTTCTTTCCTTTTGAAGGGTGAGAGATATTCCGTTGTGTGGAGATGCCAATGTTGGCTTATCCAGCTCATATCTTAACAGACACGTGGATTGCTTCCTCCTCTTGGCTATTGTGAGCAGGGCTATATACGTATGGTTGGGCATATACCTTTTCAAAATCCTGCTTCCAATTCTTCTGAGTAGGCACCTAGGGTAGGATGACTGAACAATGTGAAAATTCTATTTTTTAAGCTCTCGAGGAAGGCTCAGACTGTGAGCTTTTCACCCCACCAACACACACCAGTGTGTCAATCCCTCGCAGCCTCACCGGAACCTAGCAGCCGCACAACACTTCATTCCACAGATGCACACCAGAGCGCTGGTCCTTCTAGCCTCACCACCACGGATGATTGTGTTTTTTCTTTCTTTTCTGGCCATCCAGAAAGAAGTCATATTCTGTGATTTTGATTCCTAAGAATTCATGAGCACTTTTGTATGCCCCTCGGTCACAGTGCCTCCGCTGTGAAGACATGTCTAAGTGTTGGCACCTTTACTGTTGGGCACCATGTCCTCCGTATTTAACCACCTGTCAAAGACCCAAATCATGATGCCGGCAACATAAGCAAGAGAAGCGAGGCAGTCCTGGTGAGAATTTCACCACTCTACTGTATGACAGGAGAAAAAAGCTTATTTCCACATACTCAAAAATTCTATCTGCTTTTCAAAATTTTCAGTGCTTTATTTTTTTTTAAGATTTATTTTTATATTTAGTTATGTATAGGTGTGTGTCTGTTCGTCACATGTGTGGGTGCTGAGCTGCCTGACATAGATGCTGAAAGCTGAACTTGGGTCCTTTGCAAGAGCAGTCTGTGCTCTTAATTGCTGAGCCACCTCTCCAGCCTTCTGACTGCTTTAAAAAATTATTATAATGCTTCCATATTATGGGGAAGTGAGTCATGGAGCTTTAGAGTAGAAGAGGCCAATCTCCTTGTGTTGCAAATCAGAAAACAAAGGCAGAAAGAAGTGACATGATTTTACTTGCAGGGAGCTGATGGGAAATCTAGCAAAAGGGCTCAGGTCCCTGCCCTCAGCCTGAGCCTTTACTCATTCGACGCACACTGCCATCATGCTTCATTTTCAGAAGCAGGTTTCTCAACCTTGGGATCTGGAGCCAGATAATTCCCCATCCTATGTGGGAAGCTATTCTAGAACATACCCTTTCTATAAGGTTTAACATCCTCTTAGCTGCTGCCCACTAGAGCCCTGGAGGACCTTCTTCCCTGGTCCACCCACCAAAGAGTGATAGGGGAGTTCAGCCAATCACATTCTGTTTTTGGGGCATGCTGCCCTCAGGCTAAAGCCTGCCTATAAACCTAGCAAGCGCACTCTGCTAGCCCCTTTTTCCACCTGGCTCCTGCGTCTGGATGGATCTTGGATTCTGGTGTAAGCTGTTGTAAGTCTTACTTCTGTTTACTAAAGCTGTATATTTTGTATCAAGATAGTCTGGGGACTTTTCATTACCCGTCGCCCTGCGGCTTCAAAAGAGATTTTCAGATACTGCCAATGATGACTGGAAGGCAAAGGCCAATCCCAATTAGAACCATTGCTCCTGGGCCGGTGAGGTGGCTCCGTGAGCCAAGATGTCTGCTGTATGAGCCTGAGATTGTTCTCCCAGAGCCCATGGGACACTGGAAGGAGAGAGCCGACTCGTCAAGGCTGCCCCCACCCTCCACATATGTGCCATGGCATGTGCATGCACAATAATAAACAAATCCTCAAGGCTACCCCCGCCCTCCACATATGTGCCCATAGAAGCGCTGTCCAGATTGCATATTTATTAACTTCCTTCCACACCAATTTAATTCTCACTTCCAAGTTCAAAAATGAATGGGAGTAGTCATTAAAAGACTGGTGCAGAATGTGAGGTTGCCTATTCAAACTATTTGACAAAAACCATCATTTCAAAGAGCCATCTAGGAAGAGGGCTCATCTCTCTATAAATGGAAAGTTGGCTGAGAGAATGTTCATAAAATTTGATTGTTTGGATAAACTTGTCATTTAGCTTGGCTTAGGCCCAATCTAACACTCTCAAAAGAGAGACTGGAAAATTATTATTCCCCCCCATCACGTATAAAATGTAAATAAAACCATATGGTACTTAACCAAATTGCTTGCAATTAACAACTACTTAAGTAAACATGCTTATTGGTATTTTAAAAATATTGCCAATTCAAAGAGGCCTGGTTTATGTGCTCTTATTCAAGCAGAAGTGATTTACAGCATATAGCTACCAACTTCACCTAACTTAGCAAATTGTCTACTGCGCTGGCTTACAAAGCTGACTGTCTGCATGAAAAAGTCCCATCAACCCCATCCTGTGTTAGGCCACACAACAGATGTGTAGCAACAGCTTAATTTGACTTTGTGCCATTAGACAAGATTGTGATTAAAAAAAAAAGCTTGAGGAATAAATGGAACGACAAAGCCAGCAGTAAACACATCACAGGGAGCTTGCAGCTTATAACAAGACTGTGCCTTTATATTACATGTTGCCGGGGTTGCCACAACTGATTAGGGGCTGATGAATGGCCCAGCACAAACCAAGGCTTGAAATATCAGCTGTGCTGTCTTTAGAGACCATCAATAAATGGCCTACCTACATGATATAACTCACTAATACTTTCATGCTGCGACGACTTTTATTTTCTCTCATGTCTGTTTCAAAAGATGAAGTCCCTAGAAAAGGGACATAAACATAATTTATATTAACTTGCTAGCAATGGGGCTGGGCAGGTGGGTCAGGGAGCAGTGACTGGCAGATGGGTGTGAAGACCTGAATTTGGAGGCCCAGCACCCCTGCAGTAGGCTGGGTATGGTTCCATGCCCCTGTATTCCCAGGGCTGGTTCCTGGTTTTCCAATATTTAAATAGGAGATTTTCTAAGAAATAGAGAAAAATGGCTCCCTAAAGTCCTTGGGTCCCCCCAAGACTGAAATCTATTCAAAATGAACCATGGTAATCTGGAGATATTTATTTCATTTGGACACGAAAAAGAGACCCAAGTACATGATCTAGCTCTAATTTCTCCATATTTTCTGCATTCTGCATCTAGTCTTTGTTAAAAAATAAATCAACCCAATAGAAAAAACCCAAACTATATTCTTTCATCCTGCAGGCCTAGTACTTACCTGTCTCCTCCCATAACAGGTACCTTATGTCCGCCCACAGCGGGTACTTACTTTATGTCCTCCCCGTAGCAGATAGTAGTATCTTCTGTCAGAAGTTCACAGGCAAAACCTATGTTTTCCGCAGTTTCTACGACAGATTAAAATTAAGCCAACTGTTACTTCTGCTTATCTAAACCATGTTGAGTATCCCTTATCTGAAATGCTTGGGATCAGAAGTGTTTGAGATCTGTGGCTTTGGAGTGCGCACACATACATGCTATCTGGAGGATGGAATGTAAGTCTGAACACAAAGTCACTTGTATTCCAGATGAACCATACCCATGTGGCCTGAGGGCAATTTTATACAGATCACTTAGACGACTTTATATACATCACGTGTGCTCTGACCATGCCCTGTGTATCATGAAGTTAGGTACATCATATTAGGGCTCAAAGAGTTTTAGATTTTAAGCATTTGAGGGATTCCTTGATGACGTTTTCAACTCACGATCCTCACCACATTCAACCAAATACGCTGTTTTTCCTGTAGTAATGTATAGAAACCACATAAAAAAGAGAAATTTTTTTTCTCTGTATTAAAATAAGTCAGGATCAAAGTCTAGTTTTATATAGTCTTAATAATCAAGTGTACTGAATCATCAAGCCCAGAAGTTGGTTGTATAATGAATCAATGTTCATTATAATACTAAGCATTCAGATCCTGTGGCTTAATCATGTGGTTAAGGGGTAGGGAAAGATGGCTGATTCCATGAACCCTCACATGGGGCTGCTACCAAAGACCCCACTTGCTTCTTTCCCCTAACACCTATTTGGTGTTTGTCAAAGGCCAGGGCTGTGCTTGGGAGAGTGTCGGAATGAGAGACGATGATTTCTCAGGGACGCCTGGAGGATAAGGCATCAACGCAGAACGATGACTCGTTCAGTTCTAGGCTTAAATGCCAAACAGTTTCCGAGCACATAAAAGGTTTGTCATAATTTTCAAGACACAACAGGCAGGAAAACCAGAGCTGTTGCAGCAGCATTTTGTATTGTTTTTGTCTATGTTCAACAATTGCAGAGTGCTAGAGACAAAATGGGGACAGGGGCATGGCCTTTCCCAGACAGGAGCTCACCTCTGACTGGAGAGATAAGACAAAACTAGGCTTAAATTCTAAGGGGCAAGCTCTGCAGCTGAAGGAGTTCAGGGAAGGATGTGGGCAGTGTAGTGCTGGACTGGGAGGAGGGGTTTTGAGAGGAGGGAGCACCTCCATTCCCACAGGCTGGGAAGCCTACAAAGGTCATTGTAGGCAAAAGAATAGCAGTTATAAATATTGTGACTTAGCCGACACACCCCTCCCCCACGAGATGGATTATTACCCTTTTTGTCTCCTGTAAGTACCCAGATCTTAATGTCAGCTTTAGCAAGTTTTGAAATGGTTTCTGGAACTCCGTCCTGTAGTTTGTCTTCAATGGCAGTAGCCCCCAAGAGCTGGAAGACAGATTTTAAAAAAATAGCATATAAGAAGTATCTTTAAATGCAGTTTGCCCATTTCTGAAAAAGGAGAGCAATCATGCTACACCGACTAGCGCTCTGACGGCATTGGCGGTACCACCATCCAAAGCTGGAACACTGCACACTTGCCTCAAACCAAAGCCTTCAAAACTGCTTCTCTAGGGTTTAATTTACCAAGGCAGAAAGGGCAAGATAGACACAGGGTGTGGGGTCTCACCCTGAAAAATCTAGCACTAAAGAGGCAGAAGTGGAGGGCTCACCTATAAGTTAGAGGTTAGCCTGGGCTACATGGTGAGTTTTTTCCCCCTCTCTCCAAACAGAAAAGTATAAACACAAAAGTTGTTAAAGATTCACTTTCATTGTACTTGGGGCTGTGCGAACCTATGCCTGTTTCCCAAGCTAACGGCAGTATTTCCCATTAATATAAATTCAAAAAAACCATGCATGACTTTCAAAACATTTAAATTGTTTTGATAAAAGCTTTACTACAACTTTAATTAAATTGCTTTAGTAATTTGCCCAACGAAATCACTAAATACTTGTTTTCTTTTTGCCATTTTAATAGGAAATGAAACTTCTTTACTGCTATGAATTCAAGACCACAAAGCGAGTGCTAGGCCAGTTAAGCCAGTATAGCAAAAACAGAAAGAGAGAAAGAGAGAAAGAGAGAAAGAGAGAAAGAGAGAAAGAGAGAAAGAAAGGAAGGAAGGAAGGAAGGAAGGAAGGAAGGAAGGAAGGAAGAAAGAAAGGTGTTTTCTATTTTGGTTTTTGTTCCATGATACGAAATTTTATTGTTTGCCGAACAAGAAAAATTCAAATGATGTAGCTCTTTGTAGCAACTGTACCCATCAAAGAATTCTCCCTAAACCATGCTACCAGTGACACAATAAAACACAAATTTAACAGTTCAGAATGTCAAAGAGCAAGTTATCAACGTTGAACTCACAATCAGGTCCTTCTCAATCTCTTCGTATACTTTATCCAAAGCTTCATCTCGGTTGGTCGAGGCCACGCTGGCGGCCATAAACATTTTGTTCCATTCTGCAAATTCCTTCTCTTCAATTTCCCTGTAGCACAGGCACAGGGTTCGGAGAGTCTCACTAGCAAAGACCTGTTTGATTTACAAGACAAAATCCACCCATGCAAACAAGAGTTACTTCTCCAAAAATTCATTTTTAAAATTACACTTACGCTTACATTTATACTGTGCATGCGTGGCAGCTACGGACTATATGGGTCACAACAAAGGCATCAGAGCTCAGGGGTCCCATATTTTGCTTCACTACCCTGACATCTGGAAATGCTTTCTTTCCTCCACTCCATACCTAGAATTTGGTAAAATTCTTGGCGACCACAGAGATGTTAAGCCTACACCTCAAGGCAGCTAGCTCCTTGCTCAAGGGCCCTGGAAGAGCGATGAGCCAGTATTCCCTTGTACTAGCCCTGAAGACCTGGATGCTGAGAAAGGGTTTCACCACCGAGGACACTGTAGCAAGAGCAAAGCCACCACCCACCATGTCCCTACTTTGGTATCCCCAGCCCATGACACCAAAGCAAGGGGAGCGTTAGTTAAGAGCGAGAAAAGTTTTTATTGCACTGGAGAGACAGCCCAGAAGGCAAGAATGGACACTCTAGCAGATGGGGCCAAGTGAGACTTACATCCAGGGCATCCTGTGTTTCTTGCTTTGTAGGATTCATCGGATGGAGCCGCTCATAAATTACAGTGTCAGCGCCTTTACAGTATAGCCGAATGCTACCTTCTGGGGTTCGCACTGGGAGCAAGGGAAGGAAAAGCAACAAGAAAGTTAGGTTGGTTTCTCTATGTATATATATAAACAACTACATTTATTACATGAATTGAACTGCTGTCCTCAGCAAAGTTGGCACGCTGCTACTTGCATTGAAGGCAGCAGTGAAATACAAAACCATTCATTTAGGGTCAGTTCAATTTTCTACACCATTTTAACAAGTATTTATAGGCTCTGTACTATGCGCAATATCTTCCACAGAGTTTTCCTTGTCCGCACTGATAGGAATCTTCCTTACCTGTCTTCGAGCTCACACCATTTACTGCCTCTAACAAGGCTCCTGTGACCACTTTTCTATAGCTTTCGATATATCGTCACAGACTACACTCCACTGCTAACTACACTTTAAGTTCTGGGAGGTCGGTACCAGGGATGATTGCCAGTCTGTATCAGTTGGGCACCCAGGAAGCCCTGAGTAAAATATCACTCCACTCGCTAATACTCGAGCATCACAGTGGGAAAGTTTATGAACTCAGCGAAGCAATAGTTAACATTACTATCCGTGAGATAAAACATCAGGTGCCTTTGCAGGGTGACCCTCTGAGAAGGACATAGCATTGCTACATTTTTTTTTTTTGCCAACAATGTGTGACCAGGGTATGAGCATTAAGTAGACAAACCCAAGACAAGGACATTCTACAACAAAACTGACCTTTGTATTTTTGAAAATGCCAATATATGAAAGATCTAAAACAGGATGAAGAATTGTTGTTGCTTTTCTTTAAAATTCAGAATCATGATTTTCTAATTCAGTGTTTGATCTCTGAGACCAAAACTCATACAGATGGAAAGAGGAAGATGAAGACAAAGAGGAAGGGCCCAGAACATGAGAGGGTTCCTGGTAAGACCCAGAAATGTCTGCAAGTCAGCGCTGTAGGGGGCAGGTGATAACGCTGGGTCACAGCAAGCTTCTGATTCTGATCACTCACACACATCTAAGGTTCTTGTCAGTAGGGAATATCTCTAATGAATACATGGGGGAGGAATATTGAACCTGTAGCTTACCTTCAGGTAGTTCAGAAGATAGTAACCTATATCTAAATGGAACTATAGATCATGTTAAAAACTAGCGGCTATTAGAGATACACAAAGCATCACCAGTCATTCTTGTAATTTTCCTGTAGGTTGGAAATTATTTCAAATGACTCAGAAAAAGAAACTCAAATCTGGAACAAGACCCTCATCTTCACCTGGTGGCATGTCAAGAGCCTAGACTGGCGGTGAGGTTGGGACTTATGGACACACCCTTTCCTGCTGAGGCCTCCCTTTCCTGGCCTCGGGCAGAGAAGTGTTGTGAGGGGGGACCCGACACAAAGGCGAACAGATCTGGGGCAGCACTGTTGGGGGTACTTCTCCTGCCACTGCAGACTCAGTAACTCAGGGTCTTATAGGTAGAGAATGTCAAAAGCCTTTGCAGGATTCAAGAAGGTCACAGGGAGTAGTGGCAGAGTGAAGGACAGAGAAAAGCCAGTTTCCGTCAACCTGGACACCTTTCAGAAGTCAGCTGTCCATCCATGTCCTCATTTATCCAAGCATCACTGAATAAACTGGAGAAGAGGCACATGGAGTTGGAGGAGACATAGGGCCTGGGATAGAGACGCACCGATGATAGACATCCGCTTCCGGTCACTGTTGAAGTCCAGAATGGCGAGCACATTGTAAGTCCTTTCTGTGCCCAGCTCGCTGACCGTGATAGTGTTCTGCGTCCTGGCGAGGAAGGCAAAGCCGAAGTTCCTGGCGGCATTTACCAGGGCACCTTCATCAGGAGAGGCTGCCTGGTAGTTGAGCTGTCCTGGGGAGAGGAGGAAGCAAGAGAGAAATGCCAGAAGAGCTGCGGACGAAGGTCAGAAGCCATGCCTGAGCGCTGTACTGAGAAAACCCTGCACAGTTCTGCACATTGTATAGAGAACAAGTCAGAGGTTCTGAAAGCTAACACAGAAATCACAATGCTGTAAACATTACATTTCCTTCAAAATTAAAAGTGGTAATAGCTATGGCAAATAAAACTGTCTTAAAACAGGGTGTGTGTGGAGAGGAGTCTTGGAATTCCACCGTCTAGAAGAGAACACTACTAACATTTCACTGTCTCCTCAGGCCTCGGCAGCATGGCTGAAATCCTAACACATCGGTTGGCTGTTTACAACCTGATTTCTTTTTTAGTGTCAGATTTTGAGTCTGTTGGCATATCTTTAAAGAGTCTTCATAAATATTATTTTTTACTGAATATAAAACTGTTATTCTCTTCTCTCATGGGCATTTGGTTTACTTCTAAACTTTCTGGCCCATAAAAATAAAATTGCTATAATCATTGAGTGTGCACATAAATAATGTGTGTGTGTGTACACATACACATGTGTATGTTTTATAAACCTGGGCGTTTATTATAAGGATTCATTTACTGCACTTTACAATGTATACATGTCTGTCATAAGTTATGCTTAAAAGTATTTCCCCAGTCAGATAAAGATTTACAGAAAATGGCGTTTAGTTTTCCAATCAGAAAGCAGGGCACAGGTGTGCTGGCAACGCCTCTTCCTTCAGTCTACCTAAAAGGACAGGATATTTAAGAGCAGACAGCCATAGATAGAGGCCCCTCTTCCCTTGTTAGTTCAGAGACTAAATTCCAACCCCATCAGCATCTTAGTTCTGTTTTGTTTCTTTCACTCTTGGGATGTGTGTGTGTGTGTGGCAGGGGGGAAATCACTGTGTTCCTCAAGCTGGTCTTTAGTTCATGCCTTCTTCCCTCCTCAGCCTCCAGAACAGCTGGAACTACAGGCACCATTATCTCCACATATCACCTCCCAATTAGTTAGTAAAGAAGGCATTATAGGTTATTTTTCTATTTGTTTATCCAGAAAGCCACACTGGAAGTCATGGGAGTGCTTGCTACATCCAAGCTCTTTACAAAGACACAGATGCCAACTGACTGTTGACCCAGTGCTGGGCAAGCAGCAGTAAGAACACGGCACCTCCCTTCAATATTTTAACTTGGCCGGAACATAAATATCTTCCATAATATTGACAGAGAAAGGAAACACAATAGTGAAAGGGCAGATTGTCCATGGTTTGGACAATCTTAACTGTAGCCCAAACCTTGATGTTTTGATTACCAAAGGAAGTGTTCCAGCGGCGAAATCACAGACTTGGCAACAAACAGAAGGGAAGAACTTTGGAGGCCTGATCTAACACTCGGTTTTACATCCGCAGGAGAAGTGCGGAGGAACAAACGCTCCTCAGAAGAAAATTTACTTTAATTGCCCTCCTAGAGGCAACTCAAAGCTTTTTTTCACAGACTCATCTATGGATCAGGATGGTATCACAAGAAAAACAAAAGCGTGGGGATGGACAGTTGGGTCCAGTCACTTCTTGTGCTTACAGAGGACCTGAGTTCAGATTCCAGCACCCATACCAGGTAGCTCACAACTATCTTAACACCAGCTCTGAAAGATCCAATGCTCTCCTCTGTGGGCACTATATTTACATTCCCTCTCTCTCTCTCTCTCTCTCTCTCTCTCTCTCTCTCTCTCTCTCTCTCTCCCCCCCCCTCTCCCTCTCTCCCTCCCTCCCTCCCTCCCTTCCTCCCCTACCTCTCTTAATTAAACACACACACTCACAAGTGGCATCATCATCTCTCATTGCTTCCTTTTCTGGCTTCTTCTGACTGACAATACCACAGACCTTCCTGTCTCCAGCCTCAGAAATGCCTTCCGTTCTTCGACCTCTCAAATTAGTAAACAGAATGCCTCCTACATTCATGACTTTCTCATTCTTTGTGAGCATCTCGCAATAATACAACACCCCCAAACTGACCCCAGAGTTCCTATCATATCACATCCAGGGATGCTAAGGTCTCCTACGAAAACTCCATGAGCACTAGATTAAAGAGCACCAGGCGAGACAGGCTCCACGGCATTTTTAGACTCTGCCCTCATGCAGCCTCTGTGGGAAGAGTCTCCATGGCCTCAAGGTTCCCATCCCAGTGCATTATTCATTCTCTTCCAGTCATTCGTTAAGCACTAACCTAGGTGTTGCTTTGAAGGGATGTTTTAGATTTCACAGTAGGTCCTGATCAGCCGACTTCAAGAAAGAAATTATTACCAGGGAGGTAGCTCAGTGGTAGAGCACTTGCCTAATATATGCTAGGCTTGATCTTTTGTGCAGACAAAGAAGGAAAAAAAAAAACATCCCCGCCCCAGTCAAAACCAAACAATCAGACAGAATAACCAGGTGCTCTCCAGCTAACTAGACGACTCTTAGGAAGGACATCTAGTTAGTTCAGGAAGAGAGTCAGAGCCTGGAGTTTCACTTAGGGAGGGTTCCCCAACATGACTCAGTCTCACAAGGACTGAGGGCAAAGAGCAACCCTAGCTGTAGGCTCACAGAGAAATGGGGACCTCAGCCCTACAACGGCAAGGAACTGAACCTTGGCCCAACCACCTGAGCTTGGAAGAAGACACTGAGCACCACGTGAGACCATGGCCACACTGGGATCCTAGGGAGACGCTGAGCAGAGAAGCCGGCCAAGTGACGCAAAATGTCTGACCTCACGAACGATGCGATCAGAGACCGATGTTTCAAGCTGCCTAGCTGTAGTAACTGATCACAGCGGAGCAGGAAACTCCTGGATGTATCACCACCCAAAATGTCTTCTGAGGAAGTCAAATGTCCAAGGCCATGTTTATAAAAAGACTTCTTCCTCTTCATACAGCAATAATTTTTAAAAAGTTAATCCCCATTTTTCTGTGGTGCTAGGAATCAAACCCAAGGCCTTACACATGCCAAGCAAGTGTTCTCCTCTGAGTTATATTCCGGCTCACCATTACCCTCCTAAAAGAGAGACACAAGAAGGTAGCCAAAGAAACAGCCATATGGTGAAGGCGGACACCGAATTGACCCCTCCTGGATGGCCTCAGGAAAGCCTCTAGAGCTTTCGGCATCTGAATCTGTTTATCACAAAATCCCTTCCAAAGAACTCTCTCATGATTCTCTACTGGATCAAAGTCCCATTTCTTCTCTAAGATCCTGTACCTAAAGACACAACTTCTCTTGGTTCTCGGGGATTTTATTTGTCATTTGCTGGGCAAAGATATGACTTGGTAGGTTCAGCCCTGCAACTCAGATGGCAGTGGAGGGAACAGCTACAGGATTACACTGGAGGAAACTTTGAACAGCCATGCTTCCCACAGCACTGTTGAGAAAAATGGTGGCCGGAGAGGGACTAAATCAGGCCTGCCTCATCTCTGGCACACACTCCAAGGCCTTGCCTTCCAGTCCAGCGAGGACAAGAAAACAGACTGTACAATTAATGTACATTTGTCTAAGGGCGCAGTTAACTCCCCAAGTATCTCCATACATTCAAAGAAGAATCCTACTAATAAGTCAAGACCTAAGAGAACAAGGGTGCTTAAAAAGATCCTACTTTAGTCTTGTTATAACAAGTCAGATTTGCTTGGCTAATTAGACTCTGAACCCCATTCTCTGCCACAAACAGCTCCTCCCCCAGACCCCTCCCGTCTGAACTGTACTATTTTTCTTGACTGAACTATTCATTGTATTCTAGGAGAATGGATTTCTTTGAAACCTGCTGAGTGATATTTTTACACATGTGCCTCTCCTCAGGAGGATTTGCTACCACTCCATATGGAACATCCATGCTGGGACTCCATCAAGAGGCGCTTTCCTGCTCTGTAGGAACTGCAGTAATAAAGAGAATGGGGTGAGGTGGATGAGTGACGCGTGGGCAGAGCGCTGCATTGGAGCCACACCCAAAGCATCCCCTTTATCCTCTCCACAATGCATTTGTCTAGCGAGAGGATTAGAGAATTTATGCCCATACATGATAAAAATAGCTTCTTTTCATTGACACTGGATAGATTTCCTTTGACCAAGAAGGTACAGATGGAACTTAAGAATTCCGCAGAACCTAAACTCCTTGCTGCTCACTCACGAATTCTCATTAATTTTATTCCATCAAATGAGAAAGGCACCATAAGGAGGCCCAGGCTTTAGCTTATCTAATTCCAATTCCAAATATTTTAATCTAGAGAACAAAAGCAGCATCTGAAAGAAATTTATAGAAAATAATGCTTAAGTTTAATGCCCATTCATGATACAAATAAGGCCCGATTATACATTCCCTATGAGCAATTGTAGAATAAAAAGATTTAGGCTACTTTATTCAGTAGCCAACCCTCTGTCATATAAATACACAAACACACATATTTATATGTATACATATACACACACACATGTGTGTGTGTGTGTGTGTGTGTGTTGTGTATGATACAGCACACATATAGAGGTCAGAGGAAAACTTGTGAGAGCTGCTTCTCTCCCTTAGGGATCAAACCCAGGTTACCAGACTTGGCAACAAATGCCTTTATCTGATGAGCCATCTCACCAGCTCACCAACCATATCTTTTAACCTAATTTCATTTACAAAGGGATAACCCATTCTGAGCTGTATAATTATATCAGACATCAGCTGAGAGAAGTATGTTTTTTCAAGCCCAGTCCTACCCCAAAACGAAGTGAAATAAAGTAACTAAAAAGTCAATACTGAGGTGTCTCATGCTTTGTTACGCCATAAACATCCAGTGTCAGGGCTCACAAATGACCATTGCTTGACAGACTTGTGTGTGACAAACTTGGCATTTGTTACACTTGAGTCACCTGCCAACTCCAAAACTGGCCATCAGTGTCTGAGACACCAAAGGAACACTCACCATCAATTCTGTCCACCATGACTGTATGGCAAATGGAAAGCAAGAAGAAGAACTGTCGGACTTCCGGCTCTTTCCCTGATTGGATTTGCTCAATCAGGTAATGGTCATAAAATGCAAGTTTTCCATCAGCAAATGTATTCCAGCTAAAATCCACTAACTGAAAGAAACAGAGAGAGAAATAAAAGGCAATTAATGAAAAAATATACATATATTAGGCCAGCAAGATGGTTCATGGAGTAAAAGCGCTTGCTACCAAGGCCTGACAACTTGGGTTTGATCCTGATACCTGGGATCCACAGATTAGAGAGAACCAATCCCTCCAAGCAGTTCTCTAACCTCTACAAGTGCACTGTGGCAGCACCCATGCACACTTGCATACACACACACACATGCACACACAAATAGTTTAAAAAATCTGTACCCCTAACTGATACTGCCTTTTCTTTGTAGCTAAGTGCTTAATTATGTCAAAATCACCTTTGGATTTTAGCACATTCCCTCTTATTTTTATTTTCTATGTCTGAGTGTTTTGCCTATATGGATGTGGACCATGGGCATTCCTGGTGCCCATAGAGGTCAGAAGAGGATGTGAGAGCATCCTTTGGAACTGGAGTTACCCACAGTTGTGAGCTACTGTGTGTGTGTTGGAACTAAACCTTGGACCCTGAAAAGAACAGTAATTGCTCCTAACTGCGAAGCCATCCACTTTCTTGTCTTAATCTGTGGACATTTTTCTTAAAATAAAAGGCACACTAGAGTGAGCTGAATTGTGTCTCTCTCACGGGCCTGTCGGCACCCCAACCTTTGGGGCCTGTCAGTTTCCTTAATTTGGAAATGTGGTCTGCAGCCGTGATCAGGTTAAGATGGGGTCATGTGGATTAGGATGGAAAGACAGATGTCCTTGTAAGAGACAAATACAGATAGAACCAAACACACGAGGAAAATAAACCCTATGTGACAAGAGAAACAGAGATTGTAGCCTGGAGCCTACAAGCCAGGATCACTGGAAACTACCAGAGGCTATAGAGAAGACATGAATCGTCTCCCTAGAACTCTTGGAGGAACCAACGTAAGAATTCCAGTCTCCAGAACTGTGGGGAGATCAGCTCTGCTACTTTATGCCCAGTCCGAGGCCGCTCATCTGGTGTCCATGGAAGCGAATCCACAGCCAGCAGAACTTTGCCTAAACCACTCACCTCTATTTTGCTATGGCTGTGTTGAGAAGCATCCCGATGGTCTCCTAAGAAATAAACAGGACAAAACAAATTGAGTCTGGGTGAGCAGAGCCCCTCCCACCTGGGTTTGCAAGCACAGCTGTAGCGTCCGATGTGGCTGTCATCCTTGGTTTGGGATGGTTCTGGGGTAAAGAATCATTTTTCAGAAGTTGTAAAAAAAAATGAAAAATAGAAGAATATTAGACCTAGGTCTTGATGACTAGTGCCTGTAAACCTAAGCACTTGGTAGACTAAAATAGGAAAATCACCATGAATTAAGGCTAGTCTTAATTAATTAAGCTGGGCTATAGGGTAAAATCTTGTCTCAAAAACGAATTAAATGAATACATAAATATATTCTAAAAATAAAGGATATTTGGTAGAAATCATTATGTGGCCAGCAAAGGCTAAAATATTTACTATCTGGCTCTTCACAGAAAAAGATGGTCAAATACTGACCAGAGCTGTTTCAAATACTGATGCCTGTTCCACAATATTCCTTTGGAATCGGAACGGTGTCCTTTGACACACTTTAGTCTGCCATCACTATGGTGACAAATTCCTCAACACCATAGTGTCCCATCTTTCTCAGTGATGGGGAAACTCAAGCACACTCTACATTATTTTCTAAATGGGGGAAATGTGGACGTGTGTATTTAAAAAAAATCAAAAGTTAAAAAAAATCAATATTTCAAGGCAACATTAAATACTATTCATATGTAGAGAATGTTCTGGGAGAGTAGGATGGAGGTCAACTTTAAACTATTGTAATTCTTTTTTACTGCCCAGCTTGGTGACAAGGTGCAGTCACCTTGTGCAACTATCACCACTATCTACCTCTGGACGTCTTTATCTTGATAACCGAACTCTCTAGCATTGCACAGTAACTTCCGAACTTTGGCAGCTGGTACTGTTCTTTGTCCCTGTGACTTTGACTAGTCCAAGTACAACCACACAAAGCTTGCTTTTGTGAGCTTATATCACTTAGGATGATGTCCTGAGGGCCCATTCATGTTGTAGCACATTTTGTTCATTTCTTCATCCAGTGATGGACAAGTGGGCTGCTCCTACCCTTTGCCAAATATGAATAAAGTTACTATGAGCTTGAGTAAACATCTACCTTCCCGGGTGGCTCCTTTTCAAACCTTTTGAGCACAATAGATCCCTAGGTACAGAACTGTGAGACCATTTGGCAATTCAGCTTTTAATTTTTTGAAAGGGGTTTGTTTCTAACTATTGATTTTGTTCTCTCTCTCTCTCTCTCTCTCTCTCTCTCTCTCTCTGTGTGTGTGTGTGTGTGTGTGTGTGTGTGTGTGTCTGTCTGTCTGTCTATCTGTTCTCAACAGTGCCCGTGGTGTTTCTTTGGCAATTGAACTCCACACAGAGAGGGTACCAACAAACCATAGGAAGGCAGACTCTGTCCCAGACAGCACCTGGGATATGTTGTTTCTAACCCTAGTCAACAGCCAACCACGCCTGTTTTTCAGACCCCAACCTTAAGCAAAAGAATAACTCTGAATTGCTCTGCAGAAGGACAATACTCTAAGCTTCAAGGGCACTCATGAAAGGAAGGGGGTACTCTGACCCCCCCCACCCGCTTCACAAACCTCACACTCACCGTAGATTTGCCCGTTAATGCAGCACTTTTTGAATGTCATGATATTTTGCGTGAGTGTCCCTGTCTTGTCGGAGAAGATGTAATGAATCTGTCCTAGCTGTTCATTCAGCGTGGTGGTCCTCGCCTTCGCAGGTGTGTCCTTCTCGGCATAGTACATCTGCAGGTCCCAGTTGATGAAGTGGCTTTGTCCCAACCGGATAATTTCCACACTAGGAGGACAGAAGGCTTCAGTGGGGAGTAGAGAGGGGATTGGCCAAGCATGGACTCTACTCTCCCTGGGCACATGGGAGTGAGCTGCTTTTCTGCTGCTTTGGTTTGAAAACTAATGTCCGCTCGTTTAATGGCTAATTGTTCTTTAAAAACAGATTTATAAAGCAAGAGCTCTCAAGGACACAGGTGTGAGTCTTCCTGAAGCTAAAGTTATAGGAGATGATGAGTCACCCAACTCAGGTGCTAGAAATCAAACTGAGAGCATTATATTCTCTTGACTGCTGTGCCATCTCTCCAGCCCCATTGTTAGTCCTGACAGTTCATTTGACCGAATTTTAACATTCCCTAGGGGGCACACCTCTTATTGTGTCCCTTGAGTGTGTTCCCAAGGCCGGTTTACCTGAGGTGGGAAGGTCCCCTATGATGGGCTGGAGTCTCCAGACTGAACAAGAAGGAGAAAGTGACAGGATATCAGTGTCCCTTTCTGTTTCCGGAGTGCATACAATGTGACCAGCTGCCTCGTACTCCTCCTACCGTGCCTTCTCCAGCGTGATAGACTGTACCCTCATGCCAAGAACCCAATAAACCCTTCCTTCTTTAAGCTCCCTTGATCAGATATACTGTTAAACCAATAAGAGTAACTGTTATTATCCCGCCCCTCCTCCCATGTAGTGAAACCTAATCTTCAGTGTCTCAGTACTGAAGTAGGTATTTTTTGTGATGGTTAGGGCTCACAAATGGTGCTAGCATCTGTACTAAAGGAGCCTGCGGGAGCTCCTTTGCCCCCTTTTTGTCATGAGATAATGCAAGAAGGGATCACCTGTGGCACATGTATGGGCTCTCACCTCTTACCAAGAATTCTGCCCTTGATCGTTGACTCCCCAGCCATCTGAACTATGATGCCACACTGTGCTCCCCTGACCAAACCTATCACTCTCCGGCCTCAGGGTCAGTAATGTTGCCTCAGGGTGAGTAATGCTCCCTCATTGCACCTCCTCAGAGTCATTTCCTCCGCACACCTGAGCACGTCAGCCACAGCTAAGGAACTCTGTGCTTAGAACACACAGCCCAGTGGGAACAGAAACAGTGATACTACAGCCAGAACCACAGACACAGTCACCCCACCCTTTTCTCTCACTGTCCCTCACACCTAGGAACAACTGAACAGGCAAGTTCGCCTGTACAAAGAGAATCAGGACCCACTAGGTGACATATCCTCAAGTCTCAAACGAGTCAAGTCTTTTGGCAATTAGCGCCTTAGTTGCTTGCCCCACTGGGAAAAAAAATACATTCACTTTCTAAATTCTCACACTTTACAGAATGTCCAAAAGGAGATATTCTAAGAGGATCATATTGATTTTAAAACTCAGTTTTAAAATTAAAATTAAAATTTCAATTTAAAAACAGTAAGGAGGCTGTTTGCACACCCACAACTGCTCTGTGGGCAATGTATGGCTGCAGAAGACCTATAGGTGGGAATAAGTCCCTTACAAATGGCGGTCCCGCTTGGTGTTAAACACTGCAGACAAAGCAGATGAAGTCCCTGCCCATATTCAGACAAACAAAACAGTCCAGCAAATGTAAACTCTTGAGGGCTGCACATTCTAGGTAGCAAATCAAAGCGGAGAGCAGCAGATAGAGACCAATAGGAAGGGGAAGTAACCATTTAGTTCAGGTGAGGGAGAGGCCAGGAGGATAAGGTAACACAATTATGCACCAGTTGGATTTGGGATCTTTGAAGCCGAGACTGAGCCTTGTAATACAGAGTAACCAGTCAGTCATTACCCTAGTGAACAACAGCCCAGAGGCAACTGGGATCTCATATACGCATGTCATTAGAAGCTTTAATTAATTTAAATTTTATGACATGTGTGTTTGTTTTATTTTGATTTTATTACATGTTGCTACTGATATCCTCTGAGTGGGAGGTAAATCCCTAGAGCTGCCTTCTGTTCAGCACACACTTTAACAGAAACCAAGATGCCGAACCAAGATGGCGGGGCTAAGGAGACGGATGACTCAGTGGGTAAAGCGCTTCTTGCACGAGCAAGAAGATGAGTTCAGATCCCCAGCACCCACATAGAAGCTGGACATGCTGGTGTGTGTCTGTCACTAAGTGCTTCAGGAAGGGAAGTAGTCGTAGGGTGGAGGCGGGCAGAGTCTTGGTGCTCACTGCCCAGCAAGGCTTGCCAACATGGTGAACTCCAGGTTCGGTGAGGGACTGACTGGTTACTTTATGTATTACAAGCACAGTCCCTCCTTCAAAGGCCCCAGATTCAACTGGTCAATAATTGTGAACTTTGATATGAGAGGAAGAAGGAAGAGAAGGAGGGGGATGGTTATAAAGCAGGGAGCTATGACCCTGACCTTTTGTTGGGATGTGGATTGGCACCACACAGAGAAACAGCATTTAGAGAGGCTGAAGCAAGGCAGAAACACCTTTCCTACCACGAGGTAGCAGCAAGAAGCAGGGGCCTGACAGGCAGCAAAGTTGGAACAATTGTAATAAAGAAGGTTCTGGTAAGAGAACAGAGGCTCTAGAAAAGGAAGAATTTTCCACTGTGCTCTAAATCTCCACTCTCTCCCGGACTCTTTTTGAACCCTGTGCTTTGGAACCCACTGAGGAGGAGTTGCCAAGCAAATGACTGTCACCTTTGCCTGTGGAATGTCACTAGCCTTATCTACACAGAGGACAAGATAGAAAGTACTTAGCACAGGAGAGATACACCAAGTTCACGGCCTTCTCCAACCTCGCTCTCAGTTCCACAATGAAGCTTATTTTCTTCTCCCTTTTGACCTTTGAAACGATTGTTGCTAAACATGAAGGTGGATCACTGGGAGAGAGCACTACATTGCTCTGAAAGTAAGAGGAAGGGAAGGCCAGGCTTACCTGACGTAGAGAGAAATGGGCACCATGGTGTTCAGCACAATGATGTAGCCCCAGAAATTCAGGAAGCCCCGGTAGGAGGGCGTGGCATTTTCTCCATCATAGAGGTACCAGGAATAATCGCCAACTTGTGCTTCCCAATAAGCGTGGCCAATGGCGAGGCCAGCAGAAACCAGGATGAGTACGATAAAGATCTAGAAGACATGTATTGCAAAACAGGATTTCTAACTCCACACCTTTCAAAGATTCTCATAATATTATCTATCACTTTACATACATATGACCTTTTAATGGTCTGTAGAAACAGTACACTTAGAAGAAAGCAGGACTGTAAGTTTGCTTTGAAAGTCTGGCAGGTAATGGCTGATTTCTTTACATTTATAAGGCTAGGTTTTCTTCCCCAAATCATCTTTCAAAAGAGGAGCTGATGTCTTATGTTCAATCCTTAAAGTCCTTCATCTGACAGAGCAGCCTCACAGCTATTATTACTTTAAACAGAGAAATATTGTTTGGGAAGATACTTCACCCTTGCATGAAGAAACTGAAAATAACACTGACTTGAGAGGATCATAGATAATAGTGAATGAAAGTTGTTTTAATTTTTTTTTTTTTTGAGAAAGGGTCCCATGTAGCCCATGCATGCCTTGACCTTCCTATATACTTGAAGGTGACTATAGCCTTTCTGATCTACCTGCCCCCACTTCTGGGTGCTGGGAATAAAGACATGTGTCACTACCCTCTGTTTATGAGATGGTGGGCATCCAACCCAGGGCTTCATTAATGCTAGGCAAATTCTCTACCAGTTGAGCTATATTGCTATCTGTCCCCCCCCCCCCGCCCCCCGCCCCAAGGCAGGTCTTGCTGTGTAATCCAGGGAAGCTCTGAACTCTCCATCCTGCCTCAGCTGTCAAGTGCTGTGCATATAGGGATGGCCACCATATCCAGCTATTTTGTTTGTTTGCTTGTTTGCTTTTAAGAAAGGTGGGTAAGTCAGGCAGTGGTAGCACATGTCTTGAATCCCAGCACTCGGGAGGCAGAGGCAGGCGGATCTCTGTGAGTTTGAGGCCAACCTGGTCTACAAGAGCTAGTTCCAGGACAGGCTCCAAAGCTACAGAAAAACCCTGTCTCAAAAGGTAGGGAAATATCTTCCATAGTTGGGTACTCATACATGGTCAATGCTATAGGAGTTCTAAATGAAAATATTTATATAAAATTTATAAAAAATATTAAATGACAAAATATCTCCAATAGGCTCGTGTATTTGATCATTTGGTCCCCAACTGATGATGCTTTTAAAGAAGATTGTGAAATCCTTAGGAGGTGGAGCCTTGATGAAAGAAGCTCGGTTCAACTTCCTGTTCCCTGTCTCGGGCCCACCTTATGGGTGGTTAGGTGATGCCTTCCCATGTGACAGACTTTATTTACTGGGGACCATGAGCCAATAAAGCCCCCTTTTCCCTTTAAGCTGCTTTTGGTCATGGTATTTATCATAGCAGCAGACAGGTAACTAATATAGTAGACAAGATTATCCAAGGTGCAATAGGTGCTATGTTTGGGAGTTGAGAGGCATATGTTTTTGGAACAAAAAAATTCAAGCCAGCCTGGGCTACATAGTAAAACCCTGTCTCAATTTCTTTTTTCAGTTTTCCTAGCTATATTTATCTTTTCACAGTAGTAATAAAATTTCCAGGAAAAACTTAGTGTTCTGAACACAGGCTCTCAAAGCATCTTCTTGAGATGAGTGGGCTCAGAGGAGAGACAATGATCTATGAGTGCTTGCATGGGGATGGTTACAATGACACTAAATATAAATATTCCAGGACATAAAATTGGGGGTGGGGGTGGGTTGGTCTTCAGATAGCTTCATTATTTCTTGTGGCTGTAAGTATGTACACACCTGAACAAATTGTCACTGCATTCTGAAGAGTTTATTCATTCAGGTTGAACTTTAAATATTGAAAAAGCAATTCTCAGTGTGTGCAGAAGAGTTCACACCGCAAGTCTAAGCCCACTCTCCTCGGAAGGTGGCTTTCAAGATAGACTGGCATATGGAGACTTAGGTTTGGGGAGGGCTTCCCAGCTTCTTATTTCTGATTCTTCTAAAACAGTGGTTCTCAACCTTCCCTATGCTGTGACCCTTTATTACAATTTCTCATATTGTGGTGACCCCCCCAACCATAAAATTATTTTCTTTCCTACTTCATAACTGTAACTTTGTGACTGTTATGAGTCATAAAGCAAATAACTGATATGTGAAAGGGTCATCTGACAGCCCCCCACCCCCACCAAGGGGCTTAACCCATGGGCTCACCGCTCTACATAGAAACAGCTCACCATGCTTGCTTGGGCCAACAACACCACTGAGGCTGACCACCAGCATTCTTACAGAAGTCTGGAATTTGGAGGATGGTGGGCACGTGAAGCCTACACACCTAGCCCCCAGCTAAGAGAGTCACTGGAGACTACAGGGAGTGCACACAGTTACAAACTGTTGTTGAGGGAACTGAGTGCCTATCTGGTGTGGCTGCATGTGGGATTTAAACCAACACCCTTGAGATTTCATCTGGTGAGCCTTCCGCTCGTCCTGTTTTGTAACCGTGGGCTCCAGCAAACACGGGTGTGAGCACATGTCTATGCCAAACCCCGGGGCTCCTCCCAACCTTGAGCCTGAGTGGCTTTGAAGACCCTCAACAAACCTTATTTTTAGCCTTGCCTTAGGTGGGCCGGCATGCAAGAAGTGCGTACACACATGACAGTACATGCACACACACATGACAGTACATGCACACACACACGACAGTACATGCACGCACACACACACACACACACACACACACACACACACACACACACTTGCATTTATGACAGCTGCCCCTATGGGAAATAGAAAGCTAGTGGCTGTAAAATCTACCTTACAGTTCCTAGAATTTTAACGCTCCTGGCATTAAATTTTAAAGAGAAATTTAAAAGAGATATTTTTAAAAAGAAATATTAGTGAACCACCTTCTTTGCCTACCAGTCTTTTGAGACAAGGGACCCTGAAGTGATTGGAATTTTCCCAGGAATCTAATGGTGGGCAAAGGAAAAGACTGTAACCTGGTGCCAGTCAGAGGATTGGTACTGGAGCTCAGTGATGGGTCAGAGATGGGTGGGACCCCGACTTAGCCAAGGCTGCTTTCTTTGGTACACCTCTCTCCTTCCATCTGAGATGAAAGCTGCTGTCAGGACCCTGATGGCAGGCTTAGGATTCTTGTCCTATGTGGCCACACTGGGGAAACCTTTTTTCTCAGTTTCTGACTAGTTCTTGCCTGTTTCATTGACCTCATAAGGTTGGGTGGCCAAGACCAACTTGTTGGGGATGCCAGGGGTCCTGGCTCTGGCCCTAATAGCTCTGGTAAGAGCCCCATGGTGGTGTCCCTAGTTCTTAACTAGTCAATAGACAATTGTGAAAACATCTGGGGACAGCCTCTGAATTTTCTCTCCCCAGTGGGGCTGTGCTGGCTGAAGTGTGAAATTTCTCAGGAAAGCCTTGGGACTTCCTTTCTATCCATCCTACTAGGCTTGGTGCAACTAGGCCTCTTTGTACTCCATCTAAAGCTGCAAGATCACCTTGCGTTAGAAAAATATACATCAAAATGACTAAAAAAGACAGCCATCTGGTCTAGTCTCTCATCTACCAGAATGAAAAAATAAATACCGTGTACACCATGTAGTTCATCAAGTAGTCAATTTTCGTCCTTTTAAATCTGGTTTTCCCACTATTCCTCATTATCTTAGTGTCGGCACCTAAAAATGGAAAATTTAATGTGATTAATAGTTTGAAAACTCAACTAATAATCATGCCAATAAAATTATTTTTTCTGTGACTTTGGATAGACACTTCGAAGCCATGTTCTAGCTATCCAGCCCCAGTTAACTGGAATATCAGTCCTCCCACCTCGGCCTCCTAAGTGCTGGCATGTGGAGCCTGGACCACTAGGCTCAGCTTTCCTGAAATCTTAAGAACTTGAAGTACATTCAGGAAGTACCTGCAAAAATGACCAAGCCATGGCAGACATCGGTGTTTCTAATCACACAACCACGTAACAGGATTTTGTCAGCATCCAAAGGGAAGCTCCGTTTCCTCCAAAACAGGGTGCCCGTGAACTTGTCTAGCCGGTTGTTTGGTTCTTCACATTCAATGAAACCTTTTTCAAAAGGTAAGAGCCATATAATCAGTCAAATATGAAAGACCCAGGCTTAACCAATGGACACCAAATAAAACAACTTGAATTTAAAATGAAGTAAGGTAGTTCTGTACAAACCATCAAATGTCGCCAAGTTATCTTCTGTTTGGAGATACTGGTCTGTGATTTCAAGGGCCATTTTGAACTTCAAATTGGTTTCCCTATGGGGGAGGGTAGACAGATAGAGTTATAGGAGCACAATTTGGAGTTCAAAAGAACAAAAAGAAAATTCCACAAAGTAATCTGGGGCCTACCCGGGAGTGAGTGAAACTTAACCGTTGACTTGTTCTATTTTCAATCTCTAATTGAAAGTTTAGGTGGGGCAATCTGATTCTAGAGCAAGATTACAAACCTAAAATGTGTTGCTTCCTTTTGCTGTGCCAGTGAAGACAGAGTAACCACAGCCTTCTTTTCAAGTGACCTTTTACCCCCAATGAGGTCTACAGCAGGGGGCCCCACTACAATGGTACCCACAACAAACCCAGAACAGAAACCCTGCTTAGCACCTTCGGCCATGTCCTTCCTAGAGCAGGCAGTAGAGGTGTTTCCACAAGACAACTCTATCTAGAAAAGGAGGTGGCAGGAATACACAGGCTGCGCCAACCACAGCACAAAGGAAAGCAAGTGTTAGTGCTCCGTGGGGCAGGCAGGCACATCCTCTCAGGAGAGCAGGGCTGCCAGTCACACAAGAGTCTCCACTCATTTGGAAGCTGATTGGTGATCCCAGCTTCACCATTCAATTACGAAAAGGCATGATGGGACTTCCTGTCTCTGGAAAACTTCGGAACAAGAACTATGTCAATATAAATATGGGACGATCAACTAGCTAGCTGATCTACAGAGCAAGTGAAGACGGATTTCCACCCCTGAGTCTAGACCTCCAGAGAGCACTGGGTCCACATCTGGGATATGAGAAAAAGGAGCCACAGAGAATAGAGTTTTGACTGGCCCTTACTATGTGACCTCAGCCAGGTTACTTCACCTCTCTGAGCCTCAGCTTCCTCATGTAGTGACAATTACATAGCTGTTGAAAAGACTGAATGAGCTAATACTTAGAAATATCTACATGCAATTGAGTACTCAATAAATCTCCCGAAAATTGCTCGAAAAACAGCACTTTATTCTAAAAGAAATAAGCAAGTTCAAAATTCCCTATCGACGAAGAACCCAATTGCATTTCTGAAGATATAACAGCATCCACGGTCATCTCTGAGTCTGATCACTGCTCAGCAGTTTATAAGGGGCTTAGGTATGTGATCTTGATGGAAGGTGGGGAACACTCCCATCTTAGAGTAGAAGCCCCATTTCATAGATAAAAGGAGTCTGTCCACTATGAACGCTGTCAGACTGACCACAGGTGGCCGAGGCCGAGGTCAAGTCTCGGGTTTCCTATCCAGAATATGCAAGGTATGTTCCTGTCCAGGCCACCTCTGAAGCAGGTCCACCTGAGACGCACTCACCCATCGAGTTCAGCCGTTTCCACATAGCAGAGGCTGTTTGGCTCTGAGCTGGACAGCAGCAGAATGTCAGCCTGTCCGAAACAAAAGACACCTGTCACACGGGGTCCCCAGGGTGGAAGGCACATCCCCGCGGGTGGGGTGGGTACTCATGAGGAAAATGAGAGAACGGGAAGCTGCTCACTCACAGGAATGAAATCGTTCTTCTTCAGGCGAATGACGTCTCCAACTTGGATGTCTTTCCACTTGATGATTTTGAACCTAAGAATCAAAAATAACAACAACTCGGGCTTTTAAGTTTGAGGCGAAGAAATGGTCATTCTTCCTGGGGGTCAAAGATTCTGGAAAATTCCCTGCAATTTACAGGGAAGTGTTTGCTACAAGCTCTGCCTTTCAATGATGTTACAAGAGTTACCTTACCCCGCTTAGAAGGCACTGGCAAAGGGACTTTGCTGTGTTCTTTCCACCCTACCCAACATAAGGAAGAACCCACTAGAGGGCACTTCAACCTAGTGAGGACAGTGGGCACCTCTGTCTTTGTGCTCGTGACTTGCTGTGGCTCCCTGGTATGTTTGCTTTTTCCCCTATCACTTGTTTAGTGCTAGTACAAGGACAGACATGCATGACTCACCAGAGGCCACCAAGAATCCTCAATGGCCTTAAAGCTGGACTCCTCTCATTCTTTAAATCCACAGAATATCTCCCTTTCTAATGAATCCATGTTTACAAAGTTTCAAACTATAGCGCCCTGGCCCAAAAATTTTCACACATACAACAGATGTATTCTCTCACAGTTTGGTAAACCCCAGAGTTACTATCCTATCCAAGGTCATATGACCATGGCGTTTGGGAAGCATTCGGTAACAATAACAGATATATGAACACACAACTCAAATGTTTAAGGAGCCTGAGGTGGTTCTGGGAGGGTCCATCCACGGTGCATCATGGGACTTCACTACAGACATGATTCTGTCAATAAACGCTGGTTGGAAGCCTTGGCTTAGGCTTGAGATGACTATGTGTACAGAGTGTGGTATTTCCATTGTGCGCACAGAGTTTTCTGTTCTTAAAGAGACATAACTTTTTATGTGTGTGAGAGACAGGGTTTCTCTATATAGCTTGGTTTTCCTGGAACTTGATCTGTAGACCTGGCTGACCTTGAACTCAGAGAAATCTGCCTGCCTCTGCCTCCTGAGTGCTGGGATTGATAGTGTATGTCACCACACCTGACTGAGACATAACTCTTTAATTGTGGGAAACAATGATTTCAATATTTCCTGTCATATTCCTCAGAAAGTATAAAAGTAAACTTTCATCCTTGATAAATGGTAAAATTATATTGATACCAAAGAATAATTCAAAAATAATTTTTATGATTTATTATCAATGATTAATTTGTATTCATATTTTATTTACCCATATACTTGAGGTTTCACAAATATTTCTCAGGAAAAAAAAAGGAGTCATGAGTAGCAAAACGGTCAGATACACTATGTATTGGTCGTGATGATCCTACAGTAACCAGTATGCCATGGTCTGAACACAGACATTAAATTACTATGCTGTCCCCTCATGGGCTCATATGACAGAAAACTTGAAATTTAAAATACGTTTTAAGTATTTCCTAATACCAAGTTTCTCCAGTTTGTAAGAACTTAAATTCTCAATGCCAGAACTTTTAAAAATAATCTTGGCTTATCATCCATAAATGAAATTGTAAGGGCTGGAGATGTAGCGTGGTGAAAGAGCGCAGGTTTAGGATGTATAAGGTCCTGAGTTCAAGCACCAGAGGCAAAAACAATAATAAAACTAAAACACAAACAACAACAACAAACAAAACAAAACAAAACAGAAAGCAGAGAGAAATTTATACTTCATTTTATATTTCAATATTGCTTACATTATGACTTAGAAATAAATGTATGTGTTTAAACCCAAATTGCAAAGGGACATATTAGCAATTTTATGTCCCAACTCTGGGAACACCAGAGGCTATTCTGTTGGGCTCCCTGAGGGTCAGGTTCTTGCAGGTTCCACTGAACAAGCTACCAGGGCACGGCACTGCTGGAGATGGCTCCTCAACTCTAACTCTGAGGCGGTGCGTGTGTATTTCTCAGGATGGTACCCAGGGCCTCGGACATGGTAGGCTGGTGTTCTGCTCTGGGCTCCCTCTCTAGCCTCAGGGCTGCTCATGACCAGTGTCACTGATGCACACTGAACAGTGAGGTGGGGTGGCAAAGAATCTTACCCCCTTCACAATATTGACGCTAGGTGATTCCAGAGGTAACTTCTAAACCAGAATCCATTTATTTACAAGGAGAAAAAAAATTCTGTGTCAACATTTACAACTTGGTGGCACCTATTTTGAACCAAGTGCAGCGGATGTGTGACTCTAAATTGAGTTTTATTCTGAATTGTGGACACATTAAACCGTCTTTTGAGTTAGCCCTTCATTCCTATTTTTAGTACTTGACTTTGGACTCGTCCTTTGAGGATCTTGCTCGTCAAACAACTCATTACTGAGCCCTCAGTTGGCTGACTTGGCCAGAGTTGACTGCATTCTGTGTTTCTAGAACAAGAGTTTATTGAGCACTTTCTGCGTACTAGATGCCAGGGCATAGTCTGGGCCAGGAGATGAGACATCTACACACATAATTCTAAGACAATTCATATCATAAAAGAGACGAACACTAAGTGTTCTGAAAGTGGCGAGGAGGGAGAAATCACTTTAGGTGGCAAATGAGGAAAGGTATGGGGACATCTCTGAAAGGGACACATTGGGGATCGGTGGGGACAGAGGCAGCAGGCTTGTGGAAGTGCTCCATATCCTGGGAGCATCAGCTCATCAGCAACTACATCGAATCTACTTTGGGTCCAGCTGCACAGCTGCACAGCTGCTGAGCTGCACAGCTGCACAGCTCACAGCTGCTGTGGAATAATCCTTCTGTCCATTTGGAATACATGGTCATTCTCATTGTTACTAAAGAGCTGACTGGCCGATGGCTAAGCACGATTTTTCCAGGCAGAGAGAATGTTGGAAAGAGGAGGGGTGGAGTCAGGGCAGCCACCAGTCAGATGCGAGGAAAAAGCATCAAGGAAAGCACAGAGATGAGGTAAACAAGCCTCGGGGCAGCACACAAATTAAATAGAAATGGGTCAGTTTAAATTAGAAGATACGACTACAAACAAGTCTGTGCTATTGGCCGAACATTTATAGTTAATAACAAATCTCTGTGTGGTTATTTGGGGGAACGGTGGCCGGGACAGTGTTGCTAGGCAGTCTAGGCAGGAAATTCCACCGACACACAACCCTGAAGGTGAGGTAACATCTCTCTTTATCAGAAATGACTCACTATTGAAATACGAATGTACTTGGGCCGAGAAGATGGCTCAGTCAGTAAAGCTCTTGTCTTGAGGACCTGAGTCTCATGCCCAGAGTCCGTGTGGAAAAGCCAGGAATGACAGTCTATGCTTGTAACCCCGGTGGTAGGGAAGGGAAGATAGGCAGATGCTCGGCTTGCTTGCTGGTCAGTCTAACTGAACCAGTGAGCTCCAGAACCTCGAGAGGCGTGATTTCAAAATCAAAGGCGGTGGTAGTGTCTGTGGGAAGACACCCAACGTTGACATACACACTTATGTCCACAAAGACATACACACAATGCTAATGTGCCCTGGACTTCTAGGCTCTGCTACTTGTTTTTCAATATGCTTCTAGACATGTTAATACGTGAAATCTTGGTAGCTAAGTTAAAAATAGATACCTGCCATCCTTAATGACCTCGCATGTCCTATTGTTGATTTCCTTGTCCATTTTATGGCGAGCCTTTGGAAGGAAGATAAGGAGGTATTATTTGAATCATCTCAATATATAGACCATCAATGACAAATGTCAGCAAGGTCGGAATGATAAGAAGAAGGTGGCTTGAGAAATCCTTACCACATCATCTACTATGTCTTTGATTGCTGTGATGCCCAGCACCAGAAGTAGGGGAAAAAATGTGGTATACCATGCCAGGGTGGAGATTTCAGGGATGGCCTAAAAGAAAAGGAAAAACTTCATAAACATGAAAACATGACTTACAAGTAGTGGATACTTGATTTTAGGTTTGCTAATCCTAATATCTGTCATTGAACAAATCTCCGTCATGTAGCGCATTGAGGAAAGGACATTTACGAGCCATTCTTCTGGCTCTCTCTGACTTCTGGCACACGAAACAGTCTGGCACCGTGGCTTCAACTAGACATCAACCAGAGTTTGCATCGTAACTAAGCTATTTCGTAAAAATTCAAAGTAGGGCTGGGCGGCAGCAGTGGCACACACCTTTTATTTCAGCACCAGGAGGCAGAGGCAGAGGCAGGAGGATCCCTGTGAGTTTGAGGACAGATTGGTCTACCAAGCGAGTTCCAGAACAGTCAGGATCGTTACACAGAGAAACCCTGTCTGGAAAAAAAAATTCAAAGTAGGTGGGGTTGGGAGGAAGCAGTTCTTAGCTCTGAGCAGCACTGTGTTCAGCCAGAGGCTACTGTGGGTCTTGCAATGGCAACAGAAGATGGCCACTTCTGAAGGCAACTGAGTAGGCAAAGTCCTTATCATGGTCATTGCCAATGGCTCAGGCAACAAAGGAAGCTCTTATGTTGGATCAAGACAGTATCTCAGGTGGATGGATATATCTTTAATAATGTTGATCTTTGGACCACATCCGGTTCTTTGATGTTAATCTCCCGGTCAGCACTGTTCTGCTCTACACATCAAGGCTTTCAGACTTTGGGTAATTTACTTTACCACACTAAGCCTCTGCTCTTCTCTGCATGCTGGAGCATGTGCTGGCATTTACTTCATAGAGAGCAAGTTAGCAGGCAAATAGCCTGCTTGTTGCTGTCACCCTAACACGGATTGCTGCACTTCAACAGAAAGCAAATGGGCTGCAGCTATTTTATGAACTGTCTGTCCTCTTTCTTCTGTAAGTAGATGAAGGAAAAAGGAACCCACTGGTCACAGAGAGACCTAACATGACTTGAAGTGTACACCGCTACACTCACCCGGGACACACCCTTTCCATTCAAGTTATCAAAAGTTTTTGTTCCCCAACATTCATTAAGTAACCTCCTCTCCTAGTGTCTTTTCTCCCTTCTATGCTTTCTGCTCCACATACCCTACACCCTTCTCAGATGTACATCTACTATATTTAAAACGTCCTTAGTAAATCCCAGTTGTGATTTCCAATCCAACCTTTGTGATAAAGAGTCCGATAAAGCCAACTGACTCTGTTATCTTTATAACCCACATATCAGGTACTAAAGGTCGGTTCTGAGAACTCTCTAAAATGTGTAGAGACCCTTGATTGCAGCAACCGTTTCTATACAGATAAAAGTCTAATGCTCCAGATAAGGATTCCTTGGCTTCAAAAAAAGAAGTGTTTTGTTTCTAATGTAAAACCAATTCACAAAATTAACTTAGAAGCTTTATGAACAAATTTTCAATGAAAAGTCAATAGTATCCTTATAGAAAAACAGATGACTAAGTTAAAAAAAAGGCAAATATAAAACAACAAAAACTCTATTAATTTTAAGGTACAAATAATTTTATAAATATTTTAGTTTTATTTACTTTAGGGATACAATTTTATCAGTCACATCAGTTTTCTCAAAACAGAATTAAACCATGTCTGTTGGTTTAGGCCTGTTATCCTAGATACTTAGGATGCCTAAGCAGGAAGACTACAAGTTCGAGGCCTGCCTGAGCATGTGGGTGAGATTCTGTCTCAAATTAAAGAAGTAAAAAAGAAGGCTAAAGATGTAGTCCAGGGGTAGAATATGTATGAGTTCAAAGTTCAATCCCCCCATTTGAAACAAAAATGCAAAATAGAATCAGAATAATATTTGTTCTCATTCATTCTCTTTAAACACTGACTGAGCTGTTTCTGTGCACAAGGCACAGATCCCTTATGTAAAAATCCCTGCTATAAATAGAAAACACATTTGAGACTGTGTACTCGCTGTACGCCTACAATGCACATCACTGACAACAGATTCAAGGCATCAAAGGGCATTACCTGCAAAATAAGAAGGATCAGGAAATAGAAATTGGCTGCTCGCTTAAATTGTTCAAATAAATTCAGGGGTAGAAAGGAAAATCCGTTGTACTTGTATGTTTTAATTGCATTATTCTGTTGGGGGAAAAATAAAGAATTATCCTAAATGGTACCAAACAACAAGTACACCCACCTGCACAAATGACCGTTTCCCACAGCCCAGAACCCAGAACCATAATTCTCCAGTCAGAAGAATGCTGAGATTTTCTTAAAGTATTTCATTCTAGCCAGGCTTGGGATGACTTTGAGTCTTGATTACAAGACACAAACACCAGACTGCCACCTTAGGGATCCTGATGTCACATTTCTTGAACCACAGGACCTCCTTGAACTTGGGGCAAAGTTGGATGCCAACACGAACAGAACAAGAAAAGACCTTTTATTAAGAGAAGATGAAGGCCACTGTGTCAGAAAGAGCAAAAGCCATTCTTGCAGGTCGATTGTGTCCTCCGAAAGGTATACTAGCCCCTAATTCTAATGCCTGTTAACAAGATAGTGCTTGTCTATGGGGTCCAAATGAACTCAAGATGACTTCACAGTGGATCAGGGAGAGTTCTAAGCTAATGACTAGTGCCCTTATAGGAAGGTGGGGGGAAACTGGGAGACACATAGGGAGAAGGCAGAAGTAGGAATTGGAATGATATATTTATAAGCCAAAGAATGGTAAGAATTGTGGGCAAGCACCAGATGTTGGGGCAGGCGTGGATCTGGTCCAGAGAGTCTGAGAGTCTCCATAAGGAACCTACCTTGCCAACCTCTTAACTCTGGACTTCCAACTCCCCATACTATTAGAAAATAATGTTCGGCTTCCTAAGTCACACAGTTGTGGTACTCTAATGGTCCACAGGAGAAAAGACAGTCTAAGAATAAGCACTTACGCCCTTCTGTTTGGCTATTAAACTATTGAAACAATGGTCCCCAAGAAATTTGAATTGTCCCAACACTCTCATGCTGGAAGAAAGAAAAGGCTGAAACCTGGTGCCAGCCAGAGGAGGAATTTGTCTCCTGGAAAGAGATTTCACACAGTTGTGGCAACCTGTAAGATCACCTCAGAGATCCTACTAGACCATCCCAATAATGGATCAGTGATGGGTGGACAATATGTCGACTGGAATAGCTTAATTATGCATATCTCTTGTGCTATAGTTATCCTTAACTTCACAGAAAGATCTGGGAGATGGACTTGCAAAATCACCAGATTGCTTTAGTTGATACTCTTCTCAATGTGACCACACTAAATAAATTCATTTCTCTGCTTTTAACTAACACTTGTCTGTATTCTTTCCTATAGGGTTATTGATTTTTATTTATGTGTTTGAATGTTTTGACTGCATGTATGTATACGTACCACATACATGCCTGGCTCTTGAGGAGGCCAGAAGAGGGCGCCACATTCCTAAGAACTGGAGTTATAGATTGTTGTGAGTTGCCATGTGGGTTCTGGAAACTGAACCTGGGTCCTCTGCAAGAGCAGCAAGTGCTCTTAATCACGGAACCATCTCTCCAGCTCTACTCACCTATAAGCTTTATCACATTTTAAAGAAAATAAGCATTTTTAGGTGAAAATACCTTTGATATCTCTAAATTCATCTGAGGCAGAGTCACCTTTGTTACTTTCAGAAAAAGGCTTCAGTGATAATATTTTATAATTTTCATAAAAGATTTTAGCAAGAACTTTGCCACTACACGGGGATGTTTACACTGGCATAATTCCATTTTGTTTCATGTCACACCTACCAACCTCAGTTCAACTTTAGTAAAAATGACATTCTGCAGAATGGGGGAGGGGTATCAATAGCCCCAGGCTAGTAGCCAGCTAGATGGAAGGTGCTGTTTGGGGCCAAGCATGACATTGACTTGGCAAACTTGGGCTAGTATAAAAGCAATTCTGCCATTAACTTACCGCATATTTGCTCTCCTTAATACAAAAGAATTTGGTGTTCATAAAATGAGGTTGTTCATGGAACTTGCGATCATTTGCTTTGACTTGCCATGTGCAATCTTTAAAGGAGAAAGAGAAAAACATTGTAAGTAGAAATGAGGGTCACTGGGGAAGGAATCAACTTAAAGTGAGGTCTGTAGAATGGGCCCTAATCCACTATGTATGTCATGGCCTCTTTGAAGAGGCCACTGGGATACCAGCAAGGAGGGAGAAGGTGTGACGTCATTTGTGGAAGATGGAAATCTACAATAGAGCCTGGGGTGGAACCTGGGAGGGTCAATCTTAATTGTCAATTTGGGCTGACAATGAGGTCCAGAATCACGTGGAAGACAGAGCTCTTGGTAAGCCTCTGTGTAATTATCTTGATTATATTAACTGAAGTAGGAGACCTGTGAGCACAACAGGTGGGCTCAGGTCCTAATCCGAATAAGGAGGAGAAAGGGGCCAAACACAGGCGTTCGTTTCCACTGCTTCCTGAATGAGTATGACAGCAACGTGAATGGCTGCCCCAACCTCCTAGAGCCAGGACTTCTTTGTCACGATCAACTGTGCCCCTGAACTGTGAGCCAGAAGAGACCCCCCTTTTCCTTTAAGTGTCCTTTGTTTAGGCATTTTATCACAGCAGGGAAAGTAAGTAAGGCAGATCCCAATCTCAAAATCCTGAGAAAGAATCAAACCTACCAACAGCGTCAGCCCCGTCTTTGAGACTAAGGATCCATGAGAATATATGCCAGTTGTCTAAATTACCTTGTGTAGTCCTAGCACGTTGCATTTTGACCAGATGCTCATGGAACATTAGTGCTCTAAAAGAGCAATCTACCCCTAAACATGACCAAAATAAAATCGTTAAAGATCTAGAAGTTTCCAGCTGTATTAAATTTTCAATTTCATTGACTTGGTTTCTAATACTTACACTTTTAAAAAAAAATGTTTAGTGAATGAATAAATCGTGAAGAAGAGAATCACCAACTAACCCCACCCTTCTGAGCCATGATCTTGGATTGGTGTTGTGCATGCCTTTCCCTGGTGACCAATGCCTATCATCTGCTCAAGTTCCTTCCACATCCTTGCTCTGTCTGAATTCCAGGGAACTTTAGAAGATCCATAGGACCCCTGAGGCTGAAGAGAACATTTCCTTTCCAACACCTGTCTCCTTAAACATCTACTTATGTCCACCATACTGAACTGCTAACTTGAGTCTCCCTAGGGTGGATATCTGAGGTCACCGGCAGAGGGACACCACATTTTCCAACTCTACTGAAACACACACACACACACACACACACACACACACACACATATATGCTATATTATGTGTATATATATATATACATACATATATACATACACTAATCTTATCTCCAACAGAGCTGGTCCATTTTAATTGCCAACTTGACACACTTTAGAGTCACCTGCTTAGGGAGTGTCAGTGAGGAATTGATAGATCAGTGGGGTCTGTGGGCATGTTTATGAGGGTTGTCTTTATTAGATTAATTGATGTGAGACGACCCTGTCCACTGTAGGCGGTGGCATTCCCTGAATCTGAGTCCTAGACCGCATAAGAAGACAGAAAGGTATCTGAGTAACAACGATAAGCACACATGTGCCCATTTCTCTGTGCACTGGGCTGTGAATGTGATCTGACCAGCTGTTTTAAGTTCCTGTCCCCTCGAGTTCCCTGCAATGATGGATTGTAACCTGGAATTGTGAGCAAACATCAAATCACATATTTGCTCTCCATCAGACAAAGTAACTTCATGTTGATAAACTGAGGTTGGTTGTGGGACCTGCAGTCATTTGCTTTGACTTGTCATGTGGAGCCTTTAAAAGGGAAACAGAAAAAAGGAGGAAAGCCCTTGTTGCGTGTCAGGGTGTTCTGATCACAGCAACGGAAATGAAACTAGGACACCATCCTTCCCACCCTGTAGCCGTTGTCACTCCCAAGTCTGCTTACTGTGAGGGTCAGAGGTTTTTTGTGTCAAACACATCCCAGCCTCCCCAGAGCTCTATAGTTGTAGGACTCCACACCTTTGCTACAAATATATGCATGTCCGTAGGTGACCACCGCTGGAATGGCCTAAATTCTGATGAGGTTCTTCATGGTAGCCTAACGAGATACATGCATTTTCCCCTGTAGCCCATGGTATCTTTCCACCTGCCTAGAGGGGTACACAGCTTCACAGGAAGCTAACCAATGGAAAGCTTCTTGGACAGTGGATGTTTTTCATAGTCATGGCCATAGGTCTTTTATAAGCTTCAAGACAGGGAGTGTGGGTTACTCTGAAGTTGCTGGAGACTTGTGACTGCCTCCCCCAGTGACTTAGTCGGGCTCAGCATAACCAAGGGCTGAATGGGCCAACAGCACGACTCCCAGCAGCAGACTTGAGGACCATGTTCTCCTTGTGGCCTTAGTTGTACATTGGCCATGTCTACTCTTGTGCCATTGCTCCGACACTGACGGCTGCATGACTATCAGCATCCCTCTGGGAGAGTGTCCCCTCTGGACATGTTTGACACGCTAGTGTACTGCTCATTGAGAGCTGTCATTCAGCTGCTCTGACTTTGAATATGGAAAATCACAATCCTTAGGTAGGAGGTGTAGTGTAACTAGCCATCACATTCCAGGCATAGTTGCCCCAATCTAATCCCTTTTACGGGGAGCGGTTAGCCTTTCAAACCATTGGTGGCACGTCCTTTATCAAGGCCACTCCTAAACTACACCGTTTGTTCTGTCTTCTGTCTGTGCCCCTTGGGCCAGAGTCACTCTATGGGTCTTCAAGGGATGGCGCTGACCCTGACCCTAGAGCTGGAGGCAGAAAGACACTTTGGGACATAGCGAATGAACATGTTCTCATGAGGATAGACAGAAGCTAGACCTCCCTCCTCCACACCTACCCAAGTCAGTAAGAGGGACAACAGTGACCACTGCTGCTCTATCTACACCGCACCTTGGTGCTGTGTCTTCCTCCCCGCCCAGACTGGTTCCTAGGAGAGTCTGGAGCATGCCAAGGTTATCCTTGAATTCCCCACAGGTCCTCCATGTGTTCTAAACGCATTAGCACCAAAAGTATCTTCAGACTGAATTGGCAATGCTAAATTCATAGTTCAGTTTGCTCTATGTCTATATCAATTGGTGTCCTGTTGCTGAAACCCTGCACTCAGTGAAAATCTAGGCTCAAGGGACCTTCCAACACAGAGGTGACGTCTGTTGGCAAAGAAGATGCATCTCTTGTGTTTTTGTCTTGTCCCTTCACACTGGGTTTCTATGGCCCTATATTATGCCAGCTTTATAGATAACATGTTCTCTGTATGTGTCAGGCATGGTGTTTAGTGGTTAGCTTCTTTATTTTATAGCTCAGGACACTAAGGCATTGGCAGGATCAGCAAGTGTAGACAAGGGGGATAAGACTCAGAATCTGACTGGTCTCTCTGAACCTCCAGTGTGACCTGCCCCAACCCCGCCTTGCTTTGCTGGCTAGGCCCTTCTTTTGGAACACAATCTTTATACTACTCGGCCAGCAAGAGCACCTTGGGAAGATCATTTATGAGACCAGGACCACCTTGATCACCACAGAACACAGCCGTGCTTGATCTCCTAAAACAAAGGTGCAAATGTATTGCTGCCATGAAAACTCAAAATGCGGATGTCATTAGTTAGGAGTTAGGCCAAAGGCGGCATTCCTCGGGATCGAATTCTTCACCAGCCTGCAGGGAGGTGACTTCCTTTGAGTGACACGAGTGGGTGGGTCAAGTTTAGATGAAATTAACAGTGAGTATGACAGGCCATATTTGGAAGGGGAAAGAGAGCAAAGAAAATTTAGGGGTAAGAGATCATAATGCGATCAACCATGCAACAATTGTAAAAATCAAAGTTGTACTTATGAAAATACGTCATCTTTGTTTGTTTGTTTGTTTTTTTAATACGTCATCTTTTTAAGCGACTCACTTTCTCACCATCCTGCTCCTTAGAAAACACAGATACTAGTATAAGAGATCAGGCGCAGACTCAGAGAAGGCAAATAATGAACCTGATTACATTTCTGAAATCACAATACCATTACCGAGCGTTTCCTTGCATGGTTTGGCTGCCACTCAGCATGTAATCATAAGTGTTGTGTTATGACAAGTAGAGACGCTCCTGGCATCTTCTCAGCTCAAGAGCAATTTCATCAAAAGGGAAAATGGAAGTAGGAGCGCAAAAACAACCCATGAGCACCGGGATGAGACCTGCAATCAGAACACGTCCCTCCCACTCAAAGGAGAGCTCCAAAGGAAAGTAGCTTAAACAAAAAAAAGGTGTTTTCTTGAATCCATTCCCCTTGTAGCAGTTTGCAGATGTATCTGGGTTTTATGCTTTTTTTTTTTAACAGGATTTGTTAATTTTCATTATATGTGTATTAGTGTTTGCCTGCAGGTATGTATATGCACTGCATGCATGCCTGGGACCCACAGAGGTTAGAAGGGGCCACTGGACTCCCTGGAATTGGGGTTACAGTCGTAAACCACCATGTGGATGCTGGAGATGCAACCTGGATCCTCTGACAGAGCAGAGTACTCTTAACTGCTGCGCCAACTCTCCAGTCCCTACTATTTTATTCTTTAAGATAGGGTCTTACGACATAGCCCAAGCTGGTCAGGAGTTCCTTATCATCCTGCCTCAGCCTCCCGAGTGCTGGGTTACAGTGCTGTGTGTCACATCCAGTGACACCCGCTTTTAAGGTTTGACTTGAGCTCATCGGTGATCTGACAGATTCTAGGCACTGGTATTCAGTAAGGGAAGAGAAGCTGACAGGGTTCCCCAAGAAGAAAAGGTCAGTGGGAAGTACTGGGACTCAGCCTTAGAAACACCCAGAGGGGCACATAAGGGTGGTGCACACCGGCAGTTCTAGCAGTTACCCAGGATGCTGGGGCAGGAAGACCAATGGTGGAGAGATGGCTCAGCAGTTAAAAACTGGCTGCTCTTGCAGAGGACCAAAGCTTAGTTCCCTGCACTAAGATAATGGTTCACAACCATCCATAACTCTAATTCCAGGGAATTCAACGCCACTTTCTAATTTCT